CTGGCCTGCAACATCTTGATGTTTATGTAGAGGTATGCACAGGTAGGTAGAATTTGGTCGTCTTAACCAATGACAACCACCACAGTGACTCCCCAGACTGGGTTTTGGGACATGCCAGATGCACCACAGGCAGCCTTCTCGATTATTAAATGCACGGACATCGCGAAGTTGAGGAGCTACCCGGCTTTATCAAGAATATAGCAGTATGTCATGCTGCCAGGCTTCGCGAGTTTAGTGAAAAGCTGCGTATCCTGAGAAAGCCTGAGGACTGGGTGAGCGGCTGGTTGTAACCAAGTGTAGAGTATTAATACCTGAATGTCCCTTGCACCAAGAAGGCATTGCTTTCTGTCCTGCTACCCATACAGTATCATCACCCCAGGACATACGACCACATTACCTTCAGATTCACATCACTCAAAGCCTCTCTCTTTCGTACCTACCTACAAATAAAAATGGCCACAGAACATGAACGTTACATCGACGACTATGAATCCGGAGTCAAGTCCGGGCGCATAGCTCAACCGCCACACCGGCTGATAAAGTACATTGACATCATATACGAGATGGAGAACCAAACGAGGATCCTTTCTGCGAGAGTCCAGGAGCTAAGAGTTGCGACACCGGCCACGGCTTCCCGTGAAGAGGCCCAGAGGATTCTCAACCAGTTAATCGATCCTCTTTCGGAGAGCCTCAGGTATCTCCTCAACATCAGAAAGACCGTTTATATTGACTTCCATTGTGCACGTCTCCGTGCCAGGAGAAGTGGGCCGCCGCCCGAAGTCCTCAGGAGTGTGGAGAATTTGGAGGCGCTATGGAGGGAAGCAATAATGGAGGCCGAGCACGTGTTGGACGCGGCTCTATACGACTTGAAGTACCACATCGCGTTCTATCAAGTGGTGTGCGGCCTGAACCCTATCGTGGAACAGCATCGTTAAGGCTGTAAGTGACTTGTCTGATTTCCTGTCCAAGTATCTTGAGCTTCGTGACTGATAGCCTCTCGTGTGTCAGACGCTTGCATGTGATCCACTCGATCGGTCCCTCACTCATCGCTCAACCGCCTCGCTCATCATCGGGAGGACAGGAAGAACTTCCCTGGTCCTCGACCTCGCTCAACGAAAACAACACGATGCACCCACCGCCCTGGGTCCCCTTTCCCATGTCATCAAACACGTCGACTGAGCAAACTCGTTGCTGCTACTTGGCCGCGGAGTGAGGCCAAGCCTTTATAAGCCATCCGGTGTGCGGTGATGCGAGCCAGGTCGCTACCTCGACAACCCGGCCAAAGACGACCGGCTATTTCGTGAAGTTGGTCCCCTCGATACTGCCCGTCTGGTCCTTACTTACAACTGTCAGAGGTACTACCTACAAGAACGTCCCGGCTGCCGTAGCTCCGACAACTCCATATGTCTCGGTCTGGACTCTCGGCCAAGTTGCTTGATGAGGTTCAAGGTCTCTGTGGTGACTGGGCTGGTTGGCTGCATCCCAAACCATTATGATAGGAAACGATGATGAACAGGGCAGGTACCTAGAGAGACAAGTGGGAAGACCATGCTCAAGTGTACAATATTTTTTTTCTTTAGTCAGGGAAAAGCTAGTCGAGAGATGAATTCAGAGATATCTCCATGTGCCAAGAACAAGTGGTAATCACCCTATGTTTCCATCATCCGTTTTGAGATGTAAAGATACACCAACAGCAGTGAAAGTTTCACGGAACGTATCATACGGTACGGTATCAAGGGCGATTGATTAGTCACTATTACATCACGTGCTTTCGTGTCTTTACACAAACACGTTGCGTCATCAGGCATGAGAGGAACCGCGCAAAGCTGACAAAGACAACGACAATCAATCACCGTCGCACCTGTCTTGCCCCTCCAGTGATTTTTCGGACTTGGTCAACTCACAACGTCTGTCCTAATTGCTTTAACTCTTGCTCCAAACTTGACTAATGGCAGGTCGAAAACGTAAGGCGCCCGGTGCGTCAACCACCACCAGCACCCCCCGAACTACTCGCGCCAGCACAGCGTCGCGAAGAGCGGCGTCAGCCCGTGGCGCAGTTCCCGATGTGTACCGAGAAATGGTTTCTGAGGCACGGCGCATGGTTGTTGCCGAAGATGTTCCGGAAGCTACAACGCCAGAGAGACCACTGAAGCGGAGAAGGCCTGGAGAGAGACAAACGCCAAAGGTCGAGACGAAGCCAGTCAAGCCAACTGGAATACCGGAGCCCACAAAGACGGATCATGATAACCCAGAAGACGATGACGACGAGGAGCTTGAGTTTGAGGATGTCGAGTTACCACCACCCACCTTACAGACCATTACTAGAGACTCAGACGATGAAGACGATGAAGAGCTGGAGTTGGAGGATGTCGCATTCGATTCCCAGGGCGCATTTTCCTCGGCTGTAGCAGGCGATGTTCAGCTGGACTTGAACTTAAGCGCCCAGAAAGCAGCAATGGCACCTCATCGAAGAGTTGTAGAGCGGCGAAAAGCACTAAGCAAATCCGAGAAGGAACAGCGAAGGGAGGTACACAAAATCCACCTCCTTTGTCTCCTTGCGCATGTGGAGCGGAGGAATAGATGGTGTAACAGTCCCAAAGTCCAGGAGGCTCTGAGACCGCTCTTGACGGACAAAATGCGAAAGTCACTAATACCGAGAGCGAGTTTGAACCAGTACGGGCGAACCGAATCGCTCAAGGCAGGACTTCAGGAGACGAGCACCATGTTTAAAACGAAGTTCCAGATCATGGAACGGGGACTACGGCGAGCATTGTGGGCGGAAGATGAGGAGCAGTTGAAAAATGTAGATGGCAATTTACTTCCTCTTTCTACTTTTGTGTTCCCCTTTGTCGTTTGAGTCGCTGGCTAATACGCCTCTTCCGTATAGTACCAACTCCCAGATGACCTCGAAACTGTCAAATCCAAAGACGACTTTCTTAAAGCCGCCAAATCTCTTTCCGGCTCTCGTGATGTTGGAGCCCAGCTCTTTTGTGCACTCCTTCGTTCCATTGGCGTCCAAGCGCGCCTTGTATGCTCCCTTCAACCACTTTCTTGCGTCCCGGGGGCTCCTACGATGCCTAAACAACCAAAAATGAAATCTTTGAATGCCTCAAAGGGACCATCTGCAGCCGATCGGTATGCCGCCGCAATGTCCAAGTACGACAATACAGTCACAACTCCAGATCCAAGAACCCCAGCATTCCTGTCAGGCCGAAGTCGTCTCGGACACCCAAACGCAACAGCCTACAACGTCCCGTCCATGACCGCCCCCCCACCACCCCCTTCCCGCCCCGAAATCCCCAAAGCCAAGACAATAAAAGGGGAATCCCCATACCCCATATACTGGGTCGAAGTCCTCGACGAAGCCCAGCAAAAATGGCACCCCGTAGACCCCCTCGTCACCAACACCCAATGGCGCCCGCGTGCTCTCGAGCCCCCAGCCTCCGATAAAGAAAACAGCCTCACCTACGCCATCGCCTTTGACGAAGACGGCTTCGCCCGCGACGTCACCCGCCGCTACGCCAAAGCGTACAACTCCAAGACCAAGCGCCAACGCGTCGACGGGCCCATCTCGCCCACCACTCCCTCGGGGATCAACACAGGCGAGCGCTGGCTCCGCCGCGTTTTCTTGCGACACTACACGGCACCCGATTTTCCCACCGACCTCGACCAGATCGAGCTCAACGAGCTCGCCGCCCTCGAGGGCGCAGAGCCTATGCCCCGCAACGTCCAGGACTTCAAGGACCACCCCATTTACGCGCTCGAGAGACATCTTCGTAGGAACGAAGTCCTCCTGCCGGGCGCTCAATCCACAGGGACAGTGTCAGCGGGTTCCAAAGCCCCCGTTGAGCGCATCTACCGCCGTAAAGACGTGGTCGTCGCTCGATCGCGCGAAAAATGGTTTCGGCTCGGCCGCGTAGTCAAACCCGGTGAAGAGCCAGTAAAAGTTCTTCCTCCCAAGAGGAAACGGAGTTCCAAGTTTGGTGGAGAGAGAATATCCTCTTCCTCCCCTTCTCTCGGGATTGATAACGAAGAAGACAACGACGGTGATGAAGGGGATCTGTTCGGGGATTACTCCCTTGCCAAAGCTGGCGGGACACCGCTTTACACTCCGCAGCAAACAGAGCTGTACGTACCCCCGCCCGTTTCCAAGTCGGGGAAGATTCCGAAGAATAAGTTTGGGAATGTGGAGGTGTATGTCCCTTCTATGGTCCCTGCTGGAGGAGCGCACATCCCGCATGAGAGAGCGGCGCAGGCGGCGCATATATTGGGGGTGGACTATGCGCCTGCGTTGACGGGGTTTGAGTGGAAGGGAAGAAAGGGGACGGCGAGGATCTTGGGAGTGGTGGTTCCCGAAAAGGCGGCGGAGGCGGTGAGGGCGGTGATTACGGGGTTGGTGGATATGGAGGAGGAGGAGAGGGAGGAGAGGAGGAGGATGGAGGTGTTGAGGTTGTGGAGGGTTATGTTGAGGGGACTGAGGATTAGGGAGAGGGTGTTTGGGGGTGTTGAGAAGGAGGAAGTGGAGGAGGAGGAGGAAGAAGAACATGATAAGAAAAAGGACAAGAAAGGGAAAGAGAAAGAAAAGGGAAAAGAGACGGAGGAGGAGCAGTTTGATAGGGAGATGGCAGATGCGCCAAGTGATGTGTCGGAGGAGTTTTATATGGATATGGATAATGATGATGAAGAAGGGGGTGGTGGGTTCTTAATTGAGTAGATTTTGCATATTTCAAAATGGAAATTCTCTTTTTCGAGTTCATCAAATCTAATGAGCAAATTGTTCATGGATCCATTGCTATAAAGCCCAACGTAATCCCTTCATATATTTTGTCTCATGTGCCTATTTCTCATCCCTATCCCTCCCATACGCCCACTTCATCATCCCATCCTCGGATTTCCCCTTCTTCAATTCTCTTCATCCTACACCTTTTCCTCACCAGTATTTCCCTCCTCTCAACCTTCATCTTCTTTCTTTTTATTCTATCTAACCCCTACCTATCCCTCTATTCCATTTCTTCCCCCCTTTTGCTCCTTTGTTTCCTACTTGCCTTTTCCACCCTTGCCCTACCTCTTCTCCATACCATCTCACCCTCTCTCTGTATAGCTTGCTGTTTCTTGTCTTGACAGTCCTCACAAATACTTCCGTGCCGAATGATATTGTCCATATGGCTATTGTTCGCGCCAATACCGGGGCATATCGGGGTTCTGTCTTGTGTGAGTTTGAAGTAATCGGGGCAAAAGTTGATGCCGGCGAAGACGCTGTGGCCGCAGGTGTAGATTTCGATGTTATTTCCGCACATTTTAGTCGTAAGTAAGAGGGGATCTTTGGTGATGTTGATTGATTGATTGGACGGTTCTGAGAATTGATGGTCTGAATACGGTCGGCTGCCTACGTACACAATGATTATTCCGACTCTGTCAAAATTTATATCTTTTATTGATCGATGCCTGACTCTTTATACCTAGTTTGTGTGTCTTTGTCAGCAGGTTCATGTCAGTTTGGTAAAACGTTCCTGTTCAGTGGACGAAGTGTCATGGGGTTTTTGACTCATGTCATGTACGCCTCCCTCACCCGAGCGAACTAGTTGTTCATGTAATTTGCAAGTGCCGTTCTTCTTCTTTTTTTTTCAATCTTGATATATCCCGCTGAAACACTTTGCACTCAGTCATAATTTGCCTTGTAATGACTATCTTATCCTCACCGGTCTGTAGAATTTCATTGCTCACGCAGCCGCCGCTCTAGACCAAGTGAGAGTGAGGCCTGCAGTATGAACGTTCCTTTCCTCGTTCATTTTCGTCGCAAAGCAAAAAAGGATAAAAAATAGGTGAATGAAACAATGGTCAAGGACGTGATAGGGGGGAAGGAGTGTGATGAAGGAGTGCAGAGGAGGGGAGACCCATTGGGGGTGAGGTGGAAAATTGGGTATCGTTGCTGGGAATCGAACGGGGAAGGTTTAGAGGCTTGTGAGTCTCCCCAGTTGACAGGTAAGGTAAGTGTGCGCTTCGGTGAACCGCTTGACCATTTGTCCCATTCGGAGGTGTTGGAAGATCAGGTGAAAGAGGTAGTACATAAACCCCGTGGTCACTGGTGGTAGGCACTCAGATTGCGTTACCGGGTAATAGAACGAGTCTACATGGGTAGAAGCGGATATGTGTCCATCCAACGAATAGATGTTGCGGTCGATTACACACAAAGCGCATGTTACTTGGTCTACAGACCACTAACAAGGTGATTGTGGAAATAATCTTCATTACATCTCTCCCTAGCGATAGTCATTCAACCCAACTATTTCTGCCCTTTCCATCAGCGTGTCTCTCTAGGAGTACCGCACTATTATCCATATTTTTGCCTGGTAACAATCATGTATCCCGTAATAATTCAGCCATTGCATTCTGTGTAATCCCCAAGTTGGTACCAGCCCAAATCCATCTCATCCCAACCCAGATCCCGGCGCTAAAGGCAGCTCCTGGCCGCCATCATAGCTTCGGTGTTCGCTAATCGAGAATATATAAGCGCAGCCATCATAGCCGTGCTTTCAAGCGGTTGAGCCCAGTTGTCAAAGTTCGTTGGTTCTCTCAAGCGTCATAAATGTCGCCAGTGTAACCGTCATCCCCGTTGTCGTTTCCGTCGTGATCCTTATTCACATTCCTATTTTCCTTATCCTCCTCCGCCTCCGCCTCCACCTCCGCCTTATTCGTCCCCTTCATTTCTTTCCTATTTCCCTTCTTCCCCCCACTCCCCTTCTTCTCCTCTCGAACCTTCTTCGCCGGTGTCTTTGTATTATCAGCATCATCCGCAACCTTTCTCTTCTTCTTGTTCTTTTCCCTTTTTTCTTTTTCCTGTTTCTTTACTTCAGCAGCAAGCCTTTTCTCCTCTTCCTGCTTTGCCTTCTCTCTCTTCAACTTCTCTTCTTGTTCCACCCTGAATTCTCTCGCCTCCTTCTCCAACGCCGCAGCTCTCTCCCGCGCCTCCTTTCTGTACGGATCGTTCTCGTCCAATCGGGCGTCGGGGTTGGGTTGATGGGCGGCGGCGTGGCAGTCGCTGCAACGTGAATTGATGGGCGGAAGCGTAATATCCATTCCTTTGCTGGGGTCAGGCCCAAAGCAGGTTGATCCAAGCGCTCTGCAGAAATTGAGACTAACGATTCCGCCGTGACCGCAGGGGGCGTGGTATTGGTAGTAGTTTCCACACATTGTCTTTTTCCTCTGTTAATAGCTGGGCTTGGATACTGCGGTCTGAACTGTGTGTTTTGGATGGATTAGCCCTGCGAGGACCGTAACGAGGAAGGAAGCCGAAGTCGTTATACTGATAGGTTACAGATCCGTCAGCAATGTCACAATTTGTCTGTGAGGGTTAACTTCAACGTACCCACCACAATAATTGCTGTTGATGATGCTTGATGCTTCTCGGTGTATTTGCGGTAATGTCTGTACTGGATCAAGACGGATTCAGAAAGATCGCAACAAATGAACCGTTCTTGTATGAATTTTCAGTCTTCTCGTTCGAGCTTTCCAAGCTAATGTTCTGACATTGCGTAGATTTTCAGTAGTGCTTTCCTCTTTTCTTCAAAAAGCCGTGCCTTCTGCTCGAAGGGCCATTGTCATTATCCGAAAATCCAGACGTTTCGTTGGGCGTGATAATTGATTGAGTCAATTTGCAACCGAAACCAGTCTGACATCGGTCGTTCTTGAGGTGTCTAAGTACGGACCGCAAGACCCCCCCTCCTCCCAGTACTGTACTGCGCGAGAGAGAAGCTGAATATCAGTCTCGAGCGCTTAATGTATTCTAGAGGGCGGACGAACTACCCATGGGTCACGGGATAAATGCAGTTTCCTGGGTTGGACATCACCCCCAAGACCTAAACGACGCCAGTCCTTTGGGAAATGGCTTTACATCAAATTTACATCCAAGCAAACTTCCCACATCACCACCACCACCACCACCACCACCACTCAACCACGCCAAAACGTTCAAGTCCTACACGCAACGTATTTCTGTTATTATATGACCGAAACGCCATATATTTGATAGCATATTGTACATTTTGTTTATTCAAGCAAATGCTCCCACGATGGACATGCCGGCAGCTGTAGAACCACGAGTGTAAGCTTCTTCCTACCCAAAAACAAACCCGATAGACAAAAAAGGAGAAGGTGTATTTATACTTACCTCCGAGAAGAACAAAGATAAAAGCCGTGATCTTTTCCTTTTTAGTCATGATCCTCTGAGCCTCCTCAGACAAGAAGTCCTCAGCCAGGAGATCGACCAAAGCAGCGTAAAGGAGAAGACCAGAGGAGCTTTTTTTTGTTGTTTTACGATTAGCCGTGATGCTCTTCACTCCAGCTCCATCTCCTTGGGGAGGGGGGGGGGGGGGAGGGGGGAAATGAGACTAGGAACTCACATAGCATTAAACACTCCCACAATGATTAACCCAAATGCGCTGTTCGGATCATACGAGCTCCTTGCCAATAGTCCAATCGCCTGACCGATGGGGGCAGTAGTACCGAAAGCGACCACGAGGAGCCAAGGGCGGGGACTTCCCTGACGGTATGGGACAGCAGCGATACGGGAACCAAGACCAAGACCCTCAAACATCTGGTGGAACAAGATGGCAATCAACAGAATGGTGAAACCTTGGATGGTGATGCTAACCGTCATGCCGACGAAGACGGAGTGGAACAGGATACCGCCCTCAAGAAGGGTGATGTTGAGGGACATCTTCTTGTAGACGAGTGGGTGCACGGGCTCTCCGGTTTCGACGTCACGGTAGGGGGAGTCCATGATGGAAGCAGGAATTAGGGACTTGCGGTCCTCGTTGGAGCTAGAGGTGGTATCCGCTTGGGGGAGGAAAGCTTGTTGCCGGTTGGCAGTGGCCTTGATCATGTTGACCAGCTCCACACGCTGGCGTACATATTGCTCGTAGAAAACAATGAACCAAGGAGGCATTTCGGATCTAGGACTGAGTTGTTCATAATGATCATCGTCATCGTAGTCATTAGCAAAGGGGTTCCTGGGAGGGGTTTGGGTATACGCCTTGCGGCGAACTTTTTCTGCATACAGTTCCTGGGCCATCGCCTTCTCGTAGTCGATATCCTCGTTGGAAGACTCAAAGAGGGTATCCTCTGTATTGGTCCTGCGGTGCTGGGACGGCCGATTGACACCATTACCGTGCGCAAGGGAAACCTGGGCAGCGGTGAGAGAATTGCCGCCGTGACTGTGGTTGTCAAATCCGGTGGGACCTCCGTGGGAGTGGCCTCCGGTCTTGCTGTTAAGCCACATCTCAATGACAAACAGAATGAACATAGAGCCCATCATAATAACGCCTGGCATGGCCGGGTATTGGGTTGTGAACAGATCCGGAAGGCATGGGTCCATCAGGTTACCAAAGGCCGTTGGGAGTAACTGTAAGTTTGTTGTGCAAGTTAGCCACTTATATTCGTTCCTGCTGAATTGATGGAACAGAGTGCATTTGAGTGACCTACATGGACAAAGGCGGTCGCAATCAGGACGCCAGTTCCAAAGTGCTTGCACATGAAAAAGACCTTCGTTGGCACCTTCACCCAAGACACTTTCTTGGCCACGACCGGAAATCCAGCACCGAGGATAGAGAACAGCATGACCAAAACTGGGAATATCATCAGTTCAAATTTTCTCTGGTCATTACGGCCTAGGGCTGACATCATGTTAAACTTACACAACCCCGCAACATGAAGACCGAGGTCGTACTCGCCGACTTCTTCGCCGCCACCACACTTTGGCTTTCCGCTGTTCATGATATTCGTACCGGCGTCCGGCGCCGGGCTCGTTTGTGGCGAAGACATTGGATATGGATTAGGCACCTGGCCTTGTGTCTAGAGAAAGAAAAAAAAAAAAAAAAAAAAAAAAAAAAAAAAAAAAAAAAAAAAAAAAAAAGGAAAAAAAAAAAACAGGCAAAAAAGCTGATGAGAACGGAAGGGAATGCAACTCCGCCCAGCGGGTGCTCAAAAAGAGACAGAAAACAAAAGGAGAGTAACCTCCACGGACTCCAGAGTGAAAGAGTCGAGCGAAGGAAGGGGGGAAAAAAGTAAGGAAAAAAGTCAAAAATAACTGATCGAAGGTGAGAATGGAAATGGCACAGCCAATATAAGTCCTCCTGAGGACAGTCAACTCCACAAGATAACACCACTACACAATGGGAAGAACCATGCAGGCCAAAAAGCTCTGGGCAAAAGTTAGAATATTCTCTCTTATACCATGACTCTCCCACGGTCACGCCAGGACACGTACTGCCAGGCAGGAGTTGCCGCGAGTCGTGCAAAGGATAGGTGACGGAATTGCATCCCTAACGACTTCGATCAGGGATCTTGCGAGATCAGTGGTAAGGGGAAAGCTTGTTGGCAACAAGACTTGGTCCACGTGAAGAGCCTCAGCTCGTTGACAAGTATCATCGTCATCCGGATCTACATCGTTGGTTTCTCACATTCCTGAGACCATTCTTTCGTGGTATTCAGCGACTATCAGTGGACCGCCATAATTCTGCGTCAAGAGAGGCAAGTATTGGCGGACTCCCTTGTAACCTCTAGGCAGCATCAGCAGTTACTGGTGTTTGCAGGATCTTGAGAGCTTCATAACAAGCTTCAAGTGATCTTGGCGAAACTCGTGAGAGTTCGGGTGGTAGTCTTTACAATCTGAAAATAAGCTTTCTTGGGGTAGTCAAGTGAGCCACAGCCTTATGGGAGCACATATTGGCTTCTATGAGGTACTATACCCTTGGTATTAGCTCTGACTTGCTTTTTGATATGTGGATGTCCGATCGGAAACCCTGTGGCCACTTCCTACTTTGGGCAATGGGTCTAGGCGCCCAAAAGAGGTTTCAAACCATCGACAACTGTGGGCGAAACAGACCCACCTGGCTGGTGTAGCAGACATCCTGACCAACATCTGCCGATCGTCACCTTGTGGTTGCGGACATCCCGGCGCTTTCTCTCGACTTTCGCGGTAATGTCAACACTGAGCAGGGGTGGGTTGTCCCTTACAGCAGGGATCTCTCGACGACCGTGCTTCAATCGTGGGGAAGTGGAGGTTCAAACAGACGACGGAGCTGGAGTGTAGCATCGAAAGACATTTTGATGAAGCGGGCAAAGATACGCGGGGTCGCTTAACAACAGAGGCAGCTCTGTTCAAGGGATGATGATGTCTTCGATGGTTGTTAACCCTTGGCCTTTTGTGGTTGTTGTGCAATCTGTGACATCTTGGCGTTCCCGGGCCGTTGATCGCGCGATAAGGTGTAACACTTTATCTGCGGCTCTTTTCTTCCCCGTCCCTACCAAACCACGATACCCATTGTAATGCCAAGGGTTTTGCCTGTTTCTGTACCAGACCTCAACGGCCGCTTTGACTCCTGATGTTATCCCGACGTCTTCGAGGTCAACTGCCCCCAGATGCATGGAAGTCGCCTCGGCACGTCTAGAAACCTCATATGAAAGTTTGTGCCAACAGGAGAATGTTCATCTCAATACCACCCCAGCCACCCAAACTTCCTCTGTAGATTGGCGAGCCATAAACGGCCAAGCGCCCCCTCTGTCTCGGAGATTCGATTCCATATCGCATCTGCATGCACGGGTTGTAACTGGACGGCAGCATGGTCTGATGGAGGTTCTCGAGGCTGGAAAATTGGTAGCATGCTGAATATTGGGTGACGAGGAAATACTTGGATCCTAGCAGCTACCCCTAGATGCCTCATTAGGAAGGTGAAATGGTTGCTGATAAGGTACGGCGTGGTAGCATTTGTGGACGAGGGCGGTTGCCTTAGATACCCAGTGTATTGTTGAAGCCTGTATAATAGTCGGCAGCTCGCTGCGATTGAAGCTCTCGAAAATCATTTATCAGATTAGTGGCCGGTTACAGTTGCCATCTTTGAAATTCGCCGAAATCCTAACTGCTTTTCTCAATAATGACCGATACCGAGTCCTCGGGCCCTCAAAAGGCACCATGTAGGCTGGCACTTGTTCACTGGCTGTTCAAGAGACTTACACCGGGTAGCAGTTCCTGCTGCACAAGATACCCCAGTCGCACTGGCTGCGACGGGCACTTCGTCGCTGGGAGATTCTGATGTCGTTCAGGGCAACGCCATGGTGGCCAGTGATGCTCTCGAAACGGGCAAGGACCAGGGGGTAACCTCGACGCTCCCTATCCGGCAGGACACCACAACATCTGGCTTCGACCCGGCGGATCCGATGAGCTTCGGACGTCATCGGTGAGAGAACATCAGCACCGAGCAGATGAAAGTTGATCATCCTGATGGAGACAAGAGAAAGCTCAAGAAGTACTACAGCCGGCAGAATAAGCTAATTGACCAGTTCTTGGGAGCCGAGGATGAGGAGCGCAATACGCTGGAGGAAGATGCGCGGTATAAGCCAAAGATCAAGTTTGCGGTGAACGCATCGTTCGTCGTCAACTTATGCCTCTTTGTCATCCAGATGTATGCGGCTATATCGACAGGATCACTTTCAGTACGTTCTCTTTACGTGGCGGGCATCGACCCTGTTTGTTAACAAATCCGTAGCTTTTTGCAACTGCGGCGGATGCGTTTATGGACCTGGTATCGTCTTTTGTGATGCTAAACACATCCAGACTTGCGGCCCGGCCGAGCATCTACAAATATCCAGTGGTGAGTGTCAGCATAAGCTTCACAGTACATCAGAAGCTCACCTTGTGTAGGGACGAAAGAGGACTGAGACGTTGGGTATCATCCTCTTTTGCGCACTGTTGACCACTGTCTCGATTCAGCTTCTTGTAAGCCTGACCTGCCCTGTAGTTGTCGAGTATAGCTACTAACAGTTGGCAGATCGAATCTGCACGGAACTTGGGTTCGGGAGGAGAACACGAGGCTGAAGGTCTCCATGTCATTCCGCTCACCTTTGTTGGTGTTGCCAGTTAGTACCACTCATTCAAAACGATGGGGACGGGACACTAACATGGTGTCAGTTTTTGCCAAGGGCAGCTTGATGATCTACTGCCTCTTCTACCGGAGGTTCCCAACAGTGCACGTCTTCTTTGTCGACCATCGAAACGACATTGTGGTGAACATCTTTGGGTTGGTGATGGCGATCGTAGGTGACAAGTTTGTGTGGTACCTTGGTCCGATTGGCGCCATCCTGATTACCCTCCTGATTCTCTTTTCGTGGGCTTCAAACGCCTTTGAGCAAGTCTGGCTTCTGGTCGGCAAGTCAGCGCCCAAGGAGTTTATTGCGAAGCTCATCTATATGACCATGACACACGACGACAGGATCGTCAAGGTAGACACGGTGAGTAGATCCCGGGTGTTTCCCGGTAAAGGTGTTTGAGGCTAAACAATTTGGCAGTGTCGGGCATATCATGCTGGTCAGCATTATTGTGTCGAGCTGGACATTGTGATGGACGAAAACACACCCTTGAGAATCTCTCATGATGTCGGCCAGATGCTCCAACGAAAGCTTGAAGGGCTAGCGCTGGTCGAACGAGCATTCGTACATGTTGACTACGAGCACGCGCACAACGTCCACGAGGAGCACAAGCCACTCTACGAGAAGCCGACGCCCAAGAGGAGTCTCAAGGACATGCTCTTGTTCAGGAAGCCCGCCATGGCACAAGGAGAGGCGGATGCGTCAATCGGGCAGTGACACTGGGGGGCAATAAGGTTGAGAATAGTGTACGGTGATTAATAATAGAGTTCAAAGTTTTGCATATTGCTTTCAGTTGGAGCGTGGTGATCTGATTGAGGTGATGAGAAAACAGGGAAAAGCCAGTGCTGCCATAAGAATTGGTAGGTGGTGAGGAAGAAGACCAAGATACTCATATGTGGATGGGTTGCGTAGTGTTAGTCCCAACTTGAACCACTTGACACTTCAAGTTGAAAATAACAACTCAAGGAAGTTGGCAAGTGCAGAGATTTCGTGCCACTGAGATATGATGTTGAAGTTGAAGGAGGAAAGTGCGAGTTGTCATTGCACAGTTGAATGCTGCCCGTTGCTGCCGCCAAGGTTACGCGATAATTACCTCTCACGGTAAGTTATAATGTAATTACGTGAAAAGGAAGCTTGGGCCAAGTGGTGCGCAAACGTGGGCTGATTTTTGCTTCGTGATCGATTGGCCCGCGCATCCGGCAGGCAGCGCAGTGGAGTTTGTTCATCCCGTCCACCAGCAGCCGGTACCTGAATACAAAGTTCACTCCACCGGGACTCCGGGAGATCGACTTTGACTTTTGACGACGACGACCTCATTTTTTTTTATTTGGTGGTTTGCCATTGTCGGCTCAACTTGGTCGTCATGGCCTTCTTTCAGCTTGGGTTACGCCGGGCAGCTGTCCAGCTGTCCAGGCCATCCGTCTTTTGCGCCAGAGCTGCTTCCAATGCCTCTCAGCAACAAAAGCTTGTCCAGCTTGCGACTCCTGCTTCCACCATCTTGAAGCTGGTGAGCCAGGCTCGTCACACCCAGTCCCGCAACTATGCTAGCCAGAAAGTCCAAGAATCTCCCCTCAGCAAGCTCGCTACCGATATTGCTCAGCCCGCCCCGTCCTCTGATAAGTCCGAGAAGAAGTCCAGCTTCCCGGAAACCAGCTCGAAATCTGTCGCCTACTGGCTCCTCGCCAGCGCTGCTTCTGTCTTTGGTATCGTCATCTTTGGTGGTCTGACTCGCTTGACCGAGTCTGGGTACGTGGCCCGAGCAACTTGATATGCCGTTATGCCTCTGTCAGCCTGACACAGATCACTAATCGTTCCACAGCCTGAGTATCACGGAATGGAGACCCGTCACAGGTTCCCTCTGGCCTGGCTCCCAGGAGGAGTGGGAGTCCGAGTTTGAAAAGTACCGCGCCTCCCCCGAGTTCAAGATGCTCAACTCGACCATGAATCTCCAAGAGTTCAAGCAGATCTACTTCATGGAGTGGACCCATCGTCTCTGGGGCCGCTTCATCGGCATGTCCTTCGTCCTCCCCACCATCTACTTCATTGCTCGCCGCCGCGTCACCCCTCGCATGGCTTGCACTCTTGTTGGCATCTCGGCTCTCATCGGCTTCCAGGGCTTCATTGGTTGGTGGATGGTCAAGTCCGGTCTCAAGGATGACCTCTTTGCTCCCGGCTCCCACCCCCGTGTCAGCCAGTACCGTCTCGCCGCCCATCTTGCTACCGCCTTCGTCTGCTACTCCTGGATGCTTCTTGCCGGTCTCAGCATTCTCCGCACTCACAAGGCCATCAACTTCCCCGAGCAGGCTGTCAAGAACTTTACTGCTCTCCAGTCGCCAGCCCTTAGGGTCCTTCGCGGTTCCGTCGCTGCCCTCACTGTTCTGATCTTCACCACTGTTCTTTCCGGCGCTCTCGTTGCTGGTCTCGACGCTGGTCTCATTTACAATGAGTTCCCGACGATGGGCAACGGCCTCGCTCCCCCCAAGTCCGAGCTTCTGGACAAGTTCTACTCTCGCCACGAGGATGGCTCTGACTTGGTCTGGCGCAACATGCTCGAGAACCCCTCGCTCGTCCAGCTTGACCACCGTATCCTGGCCATGACCACCTTCACTGCTATCTGCGCCCTGGTTGCCTACAGTCGCTCTGGCAGGGTCAAGGCCGCCCTCCCCCCCGCTGCTCGCAAGGGAATCACCGGTCTTCTCCACCTCGTCTCTTTGCAGGTTGCTCTCGGTATCAGCACCCTCATCTACATGGTTCCCATTCCCCTGGCTGCTGCCCACCAGGCCGGCGCTCTTGCCTTGTTGACCGGAGTTCTCGTTGCTGGCCAGCGCCTTCGCATCCCCAAGGCCACCTTAGCTATGGCCCAAAGACGACTGGCCCAGTTGGCGCAGCAGGCCAAGACTCAAGGTCCCAAATGATCAGCACAAGCACAATGCTATATCGTGTAACATATCTGTAACATTATCTCAAAATTTTGGCGGTTAGATATACCCGAGGAGTTCAGGATACACGTGCATCTCCTCACACAATGGCTGAAGCGGCCACTCTTATGCCACTCTTTTCCTGGCGACAATTCCTTCATGTGAAACAGGCTCTCATCAAACCCGACGTTGCACAACCTGAACCAGCATCTACCAGCTTCGGATCCCGGCAGTCGATAATCTTTGTGTGTACCATGTCCAATTCCGGAACCTTGAAAGGCCCTATCACTACTGCCGCATGTCACTTTAGGACAGTGCGGTCTCGAATCTTGACTTGCGTTGGGAGCAGGATACCAATCCGATGCAGTGGCACCAGCTACCAAGTGGTGGGCTAGAACCCTGCAGAATGCCCCCATGGTAAGACAACGGAGGTCTCGCCGGTTCGACTCAGTGAGTCCATAGAGGCGAGCTTACACAGATACCCGGCATTCGTCCTCAGATGATGAAAACAAAGATTGAGTGTCGTATTGTGTTGTTACCCCTGAACGTGGGAGAGGGGGGACGAACCAACCGTCCACGCGGCCCAACGTTCTCTTCACGGTGCCAGTGCGGCAAGACCGGCATGTCGTCACATTATACTGTGCATATCGATAAGAAGACCCAAACTAGAGAGAAGTCCGAAAGTCCTGGACTCCTGGCGCCAATGACAATGGCATTCAATGTCCCAACGTCCACAAACACACCAGGATTATATGTACCAACTTTCAGTGATGTGCCGCAACGGAAATTCCCGAATGAACCTTGATTTCGCCATTTGATTTCCCCTTCGGGCCACTTACAGCTCGAGTCCGGATGTAGCTGACGATAATCATCGCACAGTTCGAATGCCCGACGCCCAAACACACAGCCATGCACGATATCACATTGTCAAAATGTAAGCCGGGATTTGGATGATGTCCCGAACGATACAAAGATGAAGCACCGAGCCTTTCATGACCTCTCGCTCAAGATCAAAGTAGGCATTGACTGGCTGTCTTGTGAAATGGTCCTCAGACTGCTGAGGAATTAAGCTTACACCGTCGACTCCACCTGACGAATAGGTTTCGGAATTCACAGTCATCGTCACAATGATCAAGAAAGTCTTGATGGTGGTGGTTGTCCTCAGCCATGTTTACCACATACAAATGGAGTCCTAAGCGCAGCACCCTTTTGTTCCTACCCTCCTTGAGCCTCAGCCGGCCACGTGAGGACCGACAGCAACAACATCGACCACAACCACAAACCCACCAAAACACCACCCCACCTTCTCATTGCTTAGCTTGGTTGATCAACAGCTTCACAATATCAGTGGCTGATACATGTGTCAAACATGCAAGTCCTACCACTCTATGTTATATGAGTTGGGCCATTGTATGAATGCATATAACGGCTACTGCTGTTCAGGGACAATGGTAAAAAGAGGTTTTAGACCGAATAGTCGTACCTGTCCCGCGATGTCTTGGCCCTATCCAACTGGTTGGAACATTACCTAGGAGCCAGAATAGTGTGGTCCAGGCAAGAAAGACATTTCCAAGTCGGAGTCTCAGAGCCTCCGTGACCCCGTTCTTTGTTTGGTTCCCCCTGGTTTCCCATATTACTAGTGTAATTGTAACCCACTACCAGTCTTGACCCCTCAGCTGGCCACCCCCCTCAACTGGCCACATCCCCAGCCATAACCAGTAGTCGGATAACATTGAAAATTGGCCATTTTTGCAGCGATTTCAACCATTTGAAATGTTTATTGACTAATCCTGATGCTCATGAATGGTCTGGAGTATTGACTCAACAGCTCTCTCGATGGGTTGTAGTGATGACGACGTCGTCGTTACCGTAGCAACCCGCTGGCGCTTGGGGGCTTGCTTTGAGGCTTCACGAGCCTCGATTATACTCTCTACACGTGCAAATTTATCATTACCCCCTTCTTTAACCTTCCTTTTACCCCGTGGCTTGAGTGACTCCAGCTTGGTCTGTAAATATTGAAGCTGGTGATCTTTAGCGGCGAGCTCAGCGTTCTTATCATCAAGCGCCTTGGCTGCTTTGGTGTAAATAGTCCGGATATCACGGTCAACAGCAGCTAACTTGTTGTGAATGCTTCCCAACATATCCCTGGACTTCTGGGGAGTCTTGAAAATGTGGTTGACCTCAGATATTTCGTTTCTGGGTGGCGTTTTGGGTGGTGATGGCTGGAGAGGGAGGGCACTGTCATTGATGACAGCGTCGGGGTCGTCAAGCACAACAGATCTGTTCATTGGCCATATACCAGTCTTTTTGAACCCTGATCTGAGGTTTCTGGAGCTCACGCCTTGTCGTGATGCTTCCTGATAACACTGGAGGAACCGTTGTTTATTTACTGGTGCAGATGCTGGAAAGCTAGCGTAATCCTTTGTTGAATCTCTAAAATATAACTTGACGGCGGCAAATACGGATTTATCGAGTGGTTGAGTCTTATGAGAAGTATGGGGAGGTAAAAAGAGTAGTTGAACGTTGTGTTGAAATGCCTCAACGAGAAAATCGTCAGATAGATGACTCGAGTGCTCATCGAGAATCAAGAGACGCCAGCCATCAACCTGGGTCTCAGGAAGGTAAACCTCCTTCAACCAGCGTAAAGCAATCTCTGAATTGCTCCATCCAGTCAATGTACTATCGTATTTCCAGCTCTTGAGCTCATCGTCCATATCGTCAGGGAACCACTGTCCCTGGAGGTTGGTACCAGAAAAGATGACAACGGGAGTCAACCTCTTGCCCTCAGCGGTCCCACACTCGATAATGGATACCCAAGCGGTTGCGTCGGTCGTTGTTACGTATGCCTTCTTCGTCAGGGTAGACCCAAGCACTTTGCCATCCTTAGATTCCAACTCTTGAAGACCATGTTCATCCATATTCGATATATTGGCTGGGATAATACCCTTGTCGCGAATCTGGACTTCCAGAAGGTCGAAGAACTTCGTGAAGGCTTCCCGGGTAGACCCTCTAACTCTCGCTGACTCGAGCGGCTTCGAAAGCTTGGTCTTGATATTGGGGTTGCGCTTCAGGAATCGGTCTACCCAACGGGCGCCCAGCTTGTCATAGTCGCCTCCTCTTTTCAATATCGACGACGCGAATCCTGACACCTGACGACGGTTGGGAGCACGGCCGGCCTTCTCCTCATTCAATATCCATCTGCAGATGAAGGATTCTTGCGTTGGCGATAGCTTCTGGTGGGGGATTTTGACGTCGCGTTTGGTAGGAATGCCTTTGACACGGTTGCCGAGGGTAGACCGTGGAATCCCATACTTCTTCGCTGCTGCGCGCTGGGAAAGTCCGTCGCGAATAGCCTCAAGCGCTTCTTCAATCAAAGGCGAGCTCATTGCAGTAGAAACGAACGCGATCGGGCTTGATTTGATGCAATTGTGGTTGTTGGGAGAAGCAGGGTGGTGATGTTGCATGAGGGGAAACAGCGGTGTGGATGTGGCCAGTTGAGGGGGGTGGCCAGCTGAGGGGTCAAGACTGGTATATGCCTCGCCAACTCAGGGATGAAGGCGCTCTTGTCGCCAAATCACATCCTTATTTCTACAGGTACCCAACCACATCGCGCCGACCTTGGTTGCGGTTCGGGTCGTCCGACCACTGCGAGGTTCCATGCTCCGGTGATTTGCCCCCGCTCTGCAGGTTTGCAGCTCCTTCCCGGTGCCGATGATGAACTAAACTCTTGAATGGTCAACGAGACGTACCACTTAGGCGCCGGCTAGTGCCCTCATGCACATTTGGCACCTTCAGGAACGATTATGGTCTGCTTCCGAATGCCGCGAATTCAGACAGAATGACTATTTCCACAAATAATTTGCCTTTAATCCAGAAGAATGCAGTCTGGATGACGACGCATACAGTAGCATGTGGGGGGAGGAAACATTTGTTGTCCTCTAAACTCCGAGTCAATTTAAGGCTGGGCGAGTCGACTCCACCTTTAACTTCTTAAGTCCGCATCTACTCTTTCTTCCGCCTCCTCATTTCCTTGGCGAGGCAAACCTCCTCTTTTCCACGAATGAGAAGGAAAAGCGCGAAAAGAGAGTTCACATTGCTCAGCAGTGTAATACAGAAACTTCCAGGCAACTTCACCTTTTCCATCTATCCCTGTCACGCCTATCTCCGAGACGTATGCAAGTTTGGAACAGTCAAGTCTATCCCAATAAATACCTCCAACCTCACGGCCAAATCCAGCGTCTCACGACAGCACGTTCGTGTTCCCACAGCGAGAAACCAGCTTGACCCTTGCACATCAGAAGAAAGGTTCATAAACACCGGTCCGAGTCAAGACCTTGTCTGGTTTATCCTTCACCTTTCTCCCCTCTCCACTTTCTCCATTCCCAAATCCTAACCTTGTCCATCAATACTGCCACAGCCTACAACTGCGTGCAGAGCGATGTCTCTTTCTATAACTCCTTGACCGAACAGGTAATTGACGCCGACGAACACTTTTACTGTTATCAGACAGTCTGTTCCTCGAGTAGTCAACCGGAGTGTTTTCGTTCAGCTGGCACTATTATTTCAGCTCCATCGCCTCAATCACCTCAAAGTCAACTAGGAAACGGTTTACATCGTTCGACATTTTCACACTTGACCGCAAAATTGTCACGTTATTCGACCTCTGGGGGACTCAAACGACGATAGTATCAACATTTCAGAGATAAACCCTGGCGTCAGTGCTCTTCTGAGTGGTTTATCAGAACCAGAAGGCGATATCTGGTCACGATTGTATGACGAGACCATCGGCTGGGTTTGCCAGCAATTCATTTGAGTGTTGAACCAGTACCGAGATCAGAGTTGATTCCACGGCGTGTTCATTCTCATATCATAACTCAATAATACTCGTGAGTATTTATTTCACCATCTACTGAATTCTCACTTGGGGGGCCCTCTCCTAGTGTCCATCTATCCCCTCGCTGCACTGATGATAGAGTTTGGACCGAAAAGAGGGGCACATTCACATCACACATTCAACCACCCCGCGAACGTGATAACCACGGTTTGCGCTCATGGCCCAGGGAACAGCATGACCAACAGCCTCAACAGTTTACATTGCGGGGGGCGAATTGAGATGGGTCTTGAGGTTTTGACATGTCGGAGGAGCGCGGAAACAGGCGTGTCAGAAAGAGGGAAAAAAAAAAAAAAAAAAAAAAAAAAAAAAAAAAAAAAAAAAAAATTAAAAAAAAAAAAAAAAATATCCACTCGATCAAAGAATAGCATGTAAAGAAAAGAGGTCTCCCTCCTCACTCTCACATCATCATTCCCCTCACCTCCTCAACCTTTTCCATCCCTTTTTTTTCACATCAGTTATGACTCGACCCCTTCTCAAAGCTGCTCACCAAAAGCCTCTTACAAGAAAAACCAAACTAACCATCTAGAGCCCAGCTTCCAACCACAACCACCACAACCAAAACTACACCACAACCCCCCTTTCAACTTTCAAAAATGTGCACACAGTGGTTCTGTCTTTACGCCTGCGGCCACAAGGGTTTCTACCGCTACGACCCCTGCCAGGACTTTGGCACCAAATGCTACGGCGCCGGCGGCGAGCAGTCTCTCTTTTCGGTTGAAAACACGTGCGACGATTGCCAAAGCCGGGCGACGGAACCGAATCCCGAGGGCCGCAAGGACGATCCGTACCTGAAGGAGCAGAAGTACGTGCCTTGGATTGTTACTACTGAAAATGCGGCGGCGGCGAGTGCTGGTGGGGGGCAGAGGAAGTAAGGGGGAAGTATGTAAGGGGGAAGTAGGGTGGGATGTGAAAGAGGAGGAAGGAGAAGGGAAGGGAAAAGAGAGAGAAGGGGGGGATGAGGATTACGTTGATAAGGGAGGGAAGGGGCGAAGGGACGAATGGATGGGGTGAGGAGAAGAACGGGAAGGGATGATATGGGCATATTCATAATCGATAACAAACACTGCACAAAAGTTCCAAAAGACATATCTCCAAAGTTATCATCAGTTCACTTCTGATAAAGAAAAAACCTCAAGGGCACTCGGTGTCGGGTCGAACGTAGATACACGGGCAAGGAGGAGACAAGAAAGAAAAATGTCTTTGCATGTTGGGTCTACAAAATGACCAAAATCACCTACGTACCAGCTCTAGAAAAGTTGAGCGAGTGTATCATCTTACTCTCATATCACAAGTCACGAAACTCCTCAGTATTCTCACAAGCCGAATCGAATGATCTTGCGAAACAAGCACTGTACATATAACGACCTCAACTTCCATGCTATATATTCGTCCCATGATAATCCCTTGATCTGATATACAAGTAAAAAGAAGTCATCTACCTAGAGGTACAAGTCACAGCAACATCATCGGCGTATCACAAAGTTATCACCAAGTGCCAATAGATGCGCAAAGCAACTACTTTGATTTTACTATAGGTACCCGCCCCATCATCACGAAGTTAGGTACCCATCAAAAGACCCCTTCTGATCAGCCATACTCCCCCTCTCCCCCAAACCTAGTACAACATCACCATGTCACAGCCTAGGTAACCACACTTACATCCCGTCATAGAGGTGTTGTCGTGACGGACAAATTTCTCGTCAATAGCGATTCCTCGTTCGTGGGCGATGACTATGAGGGAGGCGTTGACAATGTTAGGTAAAGTCGTGGCCGATATGCGGGGAGATGGAAAAAAAAGGAAAGGCATTCAATAAGAGCGGTGGTTAGGGGGAGCGGAGGCGGGGGCACCGTGGTAGTAGGTTAGTTCGAAACGAACGACGGCCGCCTAGACGGTTGAGGGGAATTTGGTGCGGGCGAAGTGTTGGGTGTATGGTATATGGTGTCCAGGCGTTCGATTCCACGGAGCGGTTGGATGTTTGTTAGTAATGGCTGAAAGTATAGGTTTCGGGTAGTTCACAACGTCGTAGAAAGAAACTCGCAAGAGGGTGAGATATTCTTCCGAGAGAGGCATTCGGGGATGAGTATTTGGACGGAAACGGCTGGTGTGGTTATCTGGAGGAGGGAGGAGGTATGGTGGTTGAGGGCGTCTTGTGTGGGTGAAAGCGATAAAGGTGGTTGGAAGTGACTAGGGATTGGGGTGAGTATTTGGACAGATGGAACTTTCAAGACAGAGTAGGGGTGAAAGTAGGGTTGATGGCCGCTCAGTTTCTCATGCCGCGTAACTTGTGGCGAAAAGAGAAGCACTCATTCTCGATTGGGGGAAGAGGGCTTATAAGCCACAACAGGACGTAGTGCTCGTCGTGGCCAAGGAAGCTCATGTTATGGACGAGCTGATGTGTAAATAGAGTATCGCCGCGTCTCTCGTCCGAACTCCCGGCATCAGTGGTGAGAGAACTCAGAGGAGTGTTCAATGAGAAGTTGAAAACGAAACCAGATAGATTGAAGGGAGAAAGAAGACACACAGCACTGCATGTAAGATAACAGCTGTGAACAGAGCACAAAGTCTGATATTGCAGGACTTGGTATATTCCACATCTAGTCTATCAGCAACTGCAACACCTTACCACATCCAGCTCGGCTTAAAAGTTAGCCTGGCCAGTGAAGCGCTCATTCTGGACCAACTCAATCCAGTAATTATCAGGATCAAGAACGAACGCAACGTTCTTCATGCGACCATCCGTCAGTCTCTTCTTCCAGTTGACGTTGAGACCCTCCAGACGGTCGCAGGCAGCCTCGATGTTATCAACCGACACGCCTATTCATCGTTAGCAATTCACCCCATCCCCATCTTCCAGTCGCCGAGGGGGAAACTCACAAATATGACCAAACCCTTGAGGCTGATCATTGCCGTTATGGTACGAAAAGTTCTCGTCCTTCTCGGTGCCATAGTTCCACGTCAACTCCAACAGTCCCTCGCGATCCGCCGTGTTCTGCTTCTCATCTCCATACCCAAGGAAATAAAGGTTGAATCCGGCCTCCTTGGCCTCATGCGTCCTCACCAGCTTCATGCCCATAACCTCCTGGTAAAACTTGAGACTCTTCTCCCCATCCTTGACCCTCAACATGGTATGGTTCATCCTGTAAGTCTTCAGGTCCGTCTCCTTGACGCCCTCCGTCTCCTCCACCGGCTTGCGGCCAATAATCTCCACCCAGTATCCATCCGGGTCCAGGGCAAAAGCAATGTGCTTCATGCGCCCATCGCTCAACTTCTTCTGGAACTTGTAACCTGCGTCCTCGAGGCGCTGGCACGCGGCCTGGAGGTTGTCGACGGAGATGCAGGTGTGACCGAAACCGCGGTGGGGTTCGACGTTGCCGTTGTTGATCTTGTAGTTGGGGTCGGACTCGGTGCCGTAGTTGTGGGTTAGCTCGATCAGACCCTCGCGGTCCCAGAGGTTGGCGCCCGCGGAGACGGCACCGGGAGCGTCGTAGCCGAGGAAGTAGAGATCGAATTTGGCTTCGGGGAAGGAGAGTTTCTTGAGGAGGGACATGCCGAGGAATTCGTAGAATTTGACTGGTCGGACAGTTAGTAATGTGTCGCCGGAGGGTAGACACAGGCTGTTGTTGCCAACGTACCCGACTCCTTGGGGTCCTTGACCCGGATCCTGTTGTCTCGATATCAGCACATCGCTCTTTGTTTTCTGCTCAATGACATCGCCCAGAATTGCCAAACTTACATGGAGTGGTTGAATTTGTAGTTCTGGACATCGGTAGTAGCCGCCATGTTTGCAAACGATCTTGTGAAAGCTGTTGTTGTTGATAATACGCATCCAAGTCAGCTCCCAAGCCAATCTCTTTTATGTGATGATTAGTCCATCTACCCCTTGTCTCGAACTTACTAGGTCTAAACAATGTTGTCTTCTTGTGATTAAACAAAGCACTAGAAAAAAGCTTCAATCTCTGTGCCGCACGTGTTGTTGAGTTCATGAGCTTTTTTTTCTCTTACAAATCTCTCAGCTTCCAAACAACAAGTGACGTGGAAGAGGAGAGAATCTGCTGTAGAAAAGTGCCGTGCGCGGGGGGGGATGCAGTGGTGTCGATTTACTTGTACGGAAGGAGGCATGAAGCTATTCTAGTGGTGCTACTGTACTAAAAACACCATCATCGGAGCGCTTATTGCCGTGAGCGTTGGGGACGGTGAGGGGCTCTAGACAACTCCCTGACAGCGGGTAAGGATTGACCCCACTTGATTGGAAATACGGTGTTGACGTCAGCGGAGCTTTTCTCCACATCGTTCAGTTATGTACTAGCTTGTGCTACAACGGGACCGACGGGAGGGAGCTGTCCGGCGGCGGCACCGATGCCGTGATGCTGCAGTGCGGCGGTGCCAAAGTAAACAATAATCGGGATAGGAGGAATGACCAGTTGATGATGAGCTGTCAGGCGTCCACGGGTGTCCGTATGAACCTAATATGCCCCTTTACTCCACCGGTTTTTCCATCCAGAAAGGTATCATTGAGAAGCCAAAGTGATGATACTGTGTGTACCTAATCGTGATACTGATAACCTGTGATCCTAAAACGAAACACCATGAGAGGCAACAGCCCGAAATATCCATGCTTGATGCTAAAACTCCATGCCACTGACACCAACGAAAGACAAGGAGTAAGAGAAACCTGATCCTCAGTTATTGTCTGTACCTCAAAAATACAACATAATGCTTCATCTGACCGCCATCGCTCTTCTCATTCGTTTCCTGGCCGATTTCGCTGATCCTTCCCTTTTCTTATACCCATTGTCCTCGTTATCCCCAGACATAATCCTGAGAAAAACCCTCTTCGTTTGTTTCTGTAGCTACCTCACACTATTCCATATTCTCCGAAGGAATCAGCTCAAGCAGCCCATCCACCTAAGATTTGCCGCCCTTGCGCTTCTTCTTTTTGCTCTTATTCTTCTTCCCTTGACTACTGCTCTGTCCGCCACTATTGGTTTTGGCGGATTCACTCTCCTTATCTCCGGACTGGTGCCCTTCATCGCCCGTCGTAAGCGGCAAAAGACCCTGAGTCTCATCACCTGTCTCCGACCTGGCGGATGGCGTGGCTATCGACACAGTCACCTTGGCGCCACGGCCGTCGCCAGGCGAGGTTGCAGTGATGGCGTATTCCTCCTCGTCGTTGGAGCTGTTGGTTTCCAAAACCACCTTCCTGACACCTCGTGTCTCAATAATGTTCTCTGTTATACTTCCACTGCGAACAATTCCACGCCTATGGGGCAAGGGGCCGTTGTCGCGAATGCTGGCGACACTATCGCTACTACCGTTCGATCCATGGTCAGACAACCCGCTGGCCGTATCCGTGGCCGCATTCCGTTGCTGCCTCGTGGGCGTCTGTGTTGACTTGTCGACTGTATCTTGATTACCGCCCGAGTTGTCCATATCAATAGGTACTGCCGTGACAGCACTCTCTGCTGGAGAGATGAGCTGTGCGGTAGCGGGGCTAACACCACCGTAGCTCTGCGTCAGAGCTTGGATACCGTCCTTTGCGGTCGACTGTTGAGGTCTGAGGAGGCTAGTGGTTTCGTCATCTTCGTAGGAAGTCTCGGCAACGGCGCTCGAGTCGGCAATTGATGCAGCACGTGCTTGGGAGAGGTGTCCCGCAATCCCAGGTTTGATCTTTACTGTAGTTGAGCGAGTGCTCTTGGGGTTAATAGCCGGGTTGGAGGGTCCTAGGTGTTTCAAGTGCTGCCTCAGTTCTTCGAGATTGGTGCGAACCGGGACCGTGGTGTTCACCATCTGGCCATCGACCCCAGTAGAGCTTCTCCGCATCATGAAAGTCGTCTGCTTGGGATCCCGCTCGTTGATGAGATGGGCCGCTTCTGAGACAGTGCTGCCCGCACCGGTAAGCGGCTCAACAATCTTTGACGGTGGAATATCAACACCGTTTGTCTTGCTCGAACCGGCGGCATCATCATGACCCCTGCTCATGGTCTTGCCAAGCACATCCTCGGAGACACGACGTGTGATTCTGGCCTTGGGTGCAGGAGTCAACCGGCGAATGGCCTTGTGGACGTCGATGTAGACATCCGATTCATCAATGATTTCCCTGAAGTGCGGTCAGAAAATTTCCCACTTTCAACTAAGCAAAGGTCAAGCCAAGACTTACTCTCCAATCAATTCCTCGATAACGTCCTCAAGGGTAACCACACCAATGGCACCGTGATCTTCTCCGGGATATTCGGAAACAAGAACCATGTGGGACTTGCCCTCTTGGAAGAAGTTGACAATGTCCAAACAGCTGGTTTCAGGACGGGTCTCGGGAAGAGTAGCCAAGGGGAAGTCCTTGACCCTCTTGCAGTCTTCGGGGTCGTAAGTGATGAGGATCTTGACAAGCAACATGCCGACAAAATTGGTGGGGTTTCCGGTTTCATGGATGGGGATTCTCGAGTAGCCGGCTGACAAGATCATATCCATTGTTTTCTCATCCAGAACGGTGTCCTCTGCCATGACAAAAACGTCCTCCATGGGAGTCATGACACTGGCGACCGGCTTTTCCTTCAAGTCGAGTACCGCACTGATGATGGTGACTTCATCCTGGTTGAGGCGTTCCGAAACATCGCCGAGGTTCTTGTGTAGGGTGACCAACGTCTTGAGACCGCTCTTCTTGTAGACTGTGCCATGGTCTTCTCCAAGAAGCTTGTCGAGGAGCTTTGCAATCGGGTACGAGACGGGGGCGGTCAAATACATGAGTAGGAGGACGGGCTTGGCCATGTAGCCACCGATTGGAAGGCCGTATCGGACGCATAGCGACTGAGGAATAACCTCACCGAAGATGACTGGAAACAAGATATTAGACGAGCGGCATTAGGTTCAAGTGGAAATTAACGTACCAATCAAGACGGTAGAGCCGATGACAGCGGCAACGCCACCGCCAAGGCAACGGTCCAAAACAACGGGAAGTGTTTCGTTGACAATGACATTGGACAACAACAGGGTAACTAGGACCCAATGTTTGCCACGCTGTAGTAGATCGTACACTCGCTTCGCGTTCTTTTGTTGTGGTTCGGTCCGGTCTCTCGCGAGTACTTGGAGATAGATGCCATCTTGGCCCATCAGACTAGGCGTCTGTGTCAGCTCGGTGTACTTGATAGAGGAAGATGGCGAGGATCAATAAACATACGCTATCGTCAAGCCGGCAAAGGCTCCTCCAACGAGGACCAAAACAGCGGAGACCAGATAGAGGACCCAAAGGCTGGCGCCGCCCTCTTCTGGCTCCTCGGAAGCTCCATGTTGGAGAATGCCTAGATGTATCGGTGCAGCCGTGACGGTGGAGATGCCCATGAACAGGGCGCGAGCAAGGCCGACCGTCAGCGAGCGTGCTGCTAGCAAGCCATTGGAACGGGAGGAGGCACCACGAGAATGTTGTGCCGTTCGGGGGGCTATCGACATTATTTTCGAAAGTTTACACCAGGGTCGGTTGCGGATGATCTGCGAGATACTCTGTCTGGGGTGGGTGGGTTGTTTTTATCAAAAAAAAGCTGGCGGTTGGAAGCTGAGGCTGTGTTTGGGCCAAGAAGATGCTGTTGGATGTGAGACTGGGCTTGGCGCGCTTTCCCTCGTTGAATCTCGCCGCTGCAGACAGAAGAGGAAGGACGCTCGGAGAATGCTGGGCGATAAGGAAGAGATTCAGTGAAAGTGCAGTGGTATATCGTGTCGATCAGTCACAAGCTCTGCCAGCTCCCGCTGCAAGCGATAGTGGTCCGATGTTTTTTTTTTTTTTTTTTTTTTTTTTTTTTTTTTTTTTTTTTTTTCCTGGCTTTGCGGATCGACGCTACACTACACTACACTACGAGTGTGATATGCGCCGGCCGTGTCGTAGGATCCAGGGCCTGTATCCTTTGGCAATTCGGAGGAGACAGCGGCGATTTCACACGGAGGCGGAAATACCCTTGTTGTTTTAGTCCGGATGGTGGTTGCCCGATCGCGAGACAGTTGGAACGAAGTTGGGGAAGATATCAATCAATGGTGAACAAAGGGAAAAAGCCAGAAAGTTACGGATCTTGCTGGGCACTTGGCGGCGGCGGTGCTACGCTGTTAAAGAGACTATGTAGAAGTGGGGCCATGACGACGACCGCGACGGGACCCGTTCCGATGACGATGATGGCAGCGGACAGCCGCCCGGAGCCTCTCATTGATTGGCCATACACCTGCTCCGTTCGGTACAGCGATTCAGACGGGCATGATTGGACCCGGCAGCAACGGGCCAGCGGGACTTGCAGCGGCATCTAGACTTGGAAAAACCGTTGAAGAATCGGGCCATCAAGGTGTCCGTAGGAGGATACACAGAGCTTGACAGCAAAGAAAAGATAAGTAAACAGCGGTGTTTCAAGACTGAAAGACTCGGACGATTCGAGTCCATCCTGGCTGAGTGTAGACGCTGCGTATGGGAACACGTTACAAACTTGACCAGACTGTCCGGGTTCATAGTGTCGGTGCCAGCTCAAACCCCCCTGGTTGCCATCGTGTAATTGCTTCATTCGAGCTTTGGGCGTTTACATGTCTCCGTCCTTCGTCCCGGGCCTGACATTGGAGGCGGCACTCTCACATGCTCTGGGCTGGAAGGGAGGTTTGTGGTTTTCGATAAGGTTGCCGGCACCTTCCGCATGTCCATAGTCCCCACTTCCTACCCGCCCCCACCAAAGCACCCCCGGGCCGCTGTGGGGAGAGCTTTAACCCACCAAACCTAACTGACAGAGACAGGACCTACGGAGCTGCCCGAAGCGCGTTTTCTTCTTCCATCTCAACGAAGCTTCGCGCGTCGAGGACTGCCACGACGGGAACAATGGTCACTGCCAGGCATGCGCAAAGCGAGGATCGCGCTCAGGCCTCTGACGACGAAGCCACCCTGAACCACAAACGAGTTCAAAACATGTTCACCGGCCCAACACCCCGACCTATAAAAAGGGTACGAAACTCGCTCGAATACATCTCTTCGTCCAAGAAGCGCAAGGCGGAGGAAACCAAGCCAGATGGCGGTTCCGGCCAAGATGACGATTCCGGCCAAGATGACGATACACAGGTGCTTGAGGTGGTCAACTCGTTCAGAGGTACAAAGTCGCGCGACCCTCCTCTTTCTCATACCGAGCCGCAACCTGTCACGAATGGCGCAAAGCGCGGCAGAGGAAGACCTAGAAAGTATCCGCTGCCGGCGATGGCGCAACATCAGCCAGCTTCCAAGACACATCTATCACAACGCGCTTTAGACCATATACAAGCTCTAGCCAGAGATACATTAAGTCCGGCAGAGGCACAACCTACTCGGGAAAGAGACACAGACGCCATCAAGATCGGAGCGCAAATGCCGATACGAGGATCAGATAGTGATTCGGATGATGAGTTTCCACCACTAGATGAGGTTTGGAAGCGACCAAAGAATCAATTGCCCGCCTCAGCCCAGCCAGAACCAAATCAAGAAGGCGACTACGAGGAAAGGGAGGGCGACGATGTACGGGCCGTGGATGAAGATGAAGAGCAGCCAGACAAAGAGAATGAGGCCGACCATCGACTCCCTCGTGTCCCACCCAAGCCACGTTCTACTCCGGCTATATATCCGCTGCTTTTCGAAACTCCAGAAAGTGTGACCAACTCAGCCCGGGTGAAAATACGAGGCAGTAGCATTATGTCGTTGCGAAAGATCATGATGGGCCCTGGCTGGACAGATCTCGGCAAAGATTGGGCCAAGACTGTCGTACAACCCTTCCGGGACAACGTTCGAAACCCGACGGCTACGTCGGAGATCAAGAACCTTTGCAAACAACTTCATGAGCTGACAATGCTATCTGATCGAGCTTCCCGAGCGGCCTCTATTACAAAGCAGAACGAGTATCTACGAGGCGTAGTGAAATGGAGAAGCAAGAGTATAGAGGCAATTCAGGACATTGTTTCAGTGTGTGAGCAACATCTGGCCCCAAATAGCGTCACTCGACAGTCATTAAGGCAAGACTTATTCGAAAACGGCATCCCCATGTTGATTTTGGCGTTGTCGAGTGCGTACTGTCTTGGTGAAGTGGGTGGAGGACACAACGACATTGACGAGGGTGGCTTTCCCCAATCTGGTATGTTTACCAGTAGCACGGTTGACTATCTCCTTCGTATTACCGATTGGATTACGCGTCTAGAGACGCGACTGGCACCCGATGTTGCCGACGATGAGGACGATGAGGACGTCGAGTACGAGCATGTGCTCAAGAAGGAGAGAGAAGACAGGCAACTTTTCAAAAGGTTCCTCGGTTCCTGGGACAAAACACTGCAACAAGCGTCACACGAACTAATTGAAGCCAAGTTTGCTCGGGACCAGGCAATCAAGAGAGCTCGTCAGGCAGCCCGTGAAGCTGAGCTTGCGAAAAGTGCGGCCAAGTACGATGCATTCGTCCTATCTACACAACGCATGAGGTCACAGTCGCGACCCTTGGACGAACTACGGCAAAAGGCAACAAGGTCTATAGTAATGCCACGTTCATCCGGGGTAGTCGCTCCAGTGAGATCGGTACCCACAAGTCACCAGCAGCAACCCGGGTCTCGCGTGTCAACGACGTCGTTGAGTCAGCCAAGGGTCTCGACTATAAGGTCGAGGTCCAAGCCTAACTATCCTGTATGGTCGGACGCAAAGAAAATGTGGCTGTTAGACGAGCTACGAAAGATTGGGCCCAAAGTGTCTGATATGGACTATGAGGACTTGGCTGAGGATTTAGGGAAGCCGATCATAGAAGTTCGGTATGAGGCGGAAAGGCTGAGAGCGGTTGCGAGGTCAATTGCGGAGGAGAGGGGGACCAAGGTCGAACGGTGGGCCCAGGGTCGATGATTGATTTACCATCTCTCAAAGTGCTGTATCCCTCCAAAGTTTGGAAACCCTTACAATGCGCAAAGATTTTCCCCAGCTCTGACGAAACAAAGAGCCTCCCAACCCTCTGTGACCCTTTACAAGTATGGATAATGAACAATGACTGCTTTGTCTCCAAGACTCCGGACTGAGCAATGCAGCGTCGTGAACAAAGAAAGGGGGTTGCCGCAACCGATATTCCAGGGAGCTACATTCCCTTTTTCCGGATCAGGAACGAAACCATAACCGACTGACTAAATGAACGAAAACTTATTTCTCCTCTTCTAAATCTCCCCATCTTCAGTTTCCAATAAGAGAACCTCGACTTTCAAGAATTCTGCAACGACCTCGAAGCTGTTCATTCAACTTCCACTTCGGCATAACAGACAACACTACCTCAGCTCAGCCAGACAGATATACCACCACCAACATAGGTACCCATCACCAAAACCGACAACTATCAACCAATTAACCTAATATCATTTCTTACCACCCTCACCTGTCAACACAAACTCATTTGTTACTACCGCCCTCACCAACAAAAAATGACATCCCACCCAACCCCCCTCCACCCCCAAGCACCCTCACCACTCCCAACTCCACCACCCCTCTCTACACCCTACACAAAACGCTCTCCCCCCCGAAGGCGTTCCCAGGCCAGGACCAAGGCCATGGCCAAAGCCAAAGCCAGAGCCAGGTCATTTTGATCCGCCGCTCCACCGACGGCGCCATCCTCCTCGGCACTCCCTCTCCTTCTGCCTTGCTCAACAACCCTTCCTATGCGAACAACAACAAGCAATTTTCCACCTTCTCGCCCCCTTCTTGTGTTTCTCCTGCTGCTGCACAGCCAGTAGATACGAATATAGTTCGGGAGTTGATGAAGGGCGCCGTCCAATTCGAGGCGTCACCAGCCGGAGCAGGAACGAGAAGGGGAGGAACCGGAATAATAGGAGCTCCCGAAGCGGCGGCTAGGGTTCTGAATCATGAGAATCTGGTGAGTTTGCATGGGGAGTGGGTGAGCGGGGTGGTGGATGGGGTGGGGCCGATGATGTTGGGAGTTTTTGGTGCTAAAGGGGAAATGATGATGGGGAAGAGAAAGGTAGTCGACAAAACGGAGCGGTGGTTGGTGTGGGATTGGTGCGATGCGGGAAGCGTAAAGGGGTTGATTGAGTTTTATGGAGGCGGGGTGGGGGAGTGTATTATTTGGGGACAGGTTGATGAGGTTGTTGCTGCTGCTGCTGCTGCTGCTGCTGCTGCGAAGGGGTCGAAGACGAAGACGAAAAAGAAGGGAGGGTTTCCGAGAAAGGAAGAGCTGGGGACCATAGTGGTAGAAGGAAAACCAAGTCAGTTCAAGTCGGGCGGTGCCTTCCTCCCAGAGAGTCTGGTCTGGCATGTTGGCTTGGGGGTTCTGCGGGCGTTGATGTACTTGCATGAAGGGAAGAGGGATGTGATCAGCGTTGAGAAGGATCCAGTGACTGGAGGGTTCAAGAGGGTGAGAAAGGTTCACGGCCCACCGGAGACGGAGCCGGATTGGATGCCTATTTTGCATCGAGACGTCAGGGCGGAGAATATCTACATGCAGCATTCAAGGGGGATAGAGACGTATGGCGCGGTGAAGTTGGGCGGGTTCGAGAATTGTTATGTTAGTGCGGCGGTAGTGATGGCGCAGGATGAGGAGGAGGGGTTTGAGAGGGTGCCGCTGGTGGCGATGGAGAGGGAAGTGGTGGGCGAGGAGGAGTTGAGGAACCGGTGGAAGGAATGGCAGGATGAAAGATATGATGTTGATGTGGTATGTCTTTCCTTTTTCTTTACTTTTTTTAGAGCCTGGAAGGAAAACAAGTGATGCTAACGAGACAAATAAAAACAACAGTCCAGACGTCCATACACCCGCGGCAACGACCTCTACGCCCTCGGCACCATCCTCTACCACATGATGGTCGGCCGTCCGCTCCCACCCGTCCCGGAGGAGTGTCCTTTCTGCAAGTGTCACCACGTCCAGTTCTTGACCAATGCGCCCGGTGAAAAGAAAAAGGCTTGCACCCATATGAACTGCGACTACCAAGACGTGAATCACGAGGTGGATATTGGGCACCTCATGAAGAATGGTACCCGCGGGAAGTACACCAAGGGCCTAGCTGGGCTTGTGGGTGTGCTCTTGAGGCAGTACAGAAACGACGAGATGAGGGCTAGTGATATCCTGGATAGGGCTGGCTGGAGGGGGTACGAGGAGTGGAAGACGGCCACGCCGGATGGAAAGCTGTTCAAGGATGCGACGGATGATATGATGTTTAGGAAGAATAATGAGATTGTGGCAAAGAGGAATTTGGCAGCTCAGCAGGCCAGTCAGCCTATGAATGTTTAGTTACTTGGGAAAGGCATGAGGTACGGGAAGTCAAAGGTGTGGATAGGAAGATGGAAAGGGGGTACGTACAAGAGGTGTAAGATGTAGGCATGGGATTGGAGTATAGAAGGGCAACTGGTTAACAGACATTCATCAAACAGTTTGAACAGCTGCATGGCGCAGCGGAAGCGCGCCGGGCTCATAACCCGGAGGTCACTCGATCGAAACGAGTTGCAGCTAAACTTTTTCTTGTTCCCAGCTTCGGTTTTATGATTTTCATTTTTTTTTTCTCGTTCGACTTTTTTTCCCCAGGATCTGCTGCTGGGTTTATGGCCCCGGTTTTTCCCTAGTCAAAGTGGAGCTTATCACGTCAAGTTAGGTCCTGGTCTTTTTGTTTCCGGTATCGCAACATGACCTTTAGTATCTTGATCCTCTTTTTGTCTCCAGGAGATCGTCACGATAAATTTGAGCATCGATTCTTCACCGGTACCTTCCAATTTGAGCCGTCTATCGTGACACATTTTGCACCATGTTGAAGACCAAGGGACACCTACCTGGAACGAGGCTGTGGGGACAGTTGAAGCTCTTATCTTATCGATAAGTTACCGTGACAGTTCGTTCCAACTCCGGGTTTCTTGTTCCAGTTCCACAACTGAAAGCAGCAACGTTGCGACAGTGAAGACCGGGTTGGAATAACAAGGCGACTTTGTACACTACCATTGCTCGACACACATCATACGATTACACCGTCTCTCTGGACAAACGGCGCACTGACGACGACACAAGTCTGATGAATAGATAAACAATCCTCATTAAGCGCTCGAAATTGCCGCCCTAGTACATAGTACACTACACTAGTACCCTCACGCACCTAGCTCGCCTCGGCCATCCTCCCCCCCTCCCCCCTCCGGTCCCAACAACGGCAGTTCGTCCCCGACCCGCAAACAGCGAGACACCAACTCCATTGAACAACACAACGAACCCACCCAGCGATAAGGGTACCTCAACCGACGATCCATCACTCCACGCTCTCTCTTCTGCGCCGCTTCTCTTTGTCCCCAAACATCACCTTTGTCGGGCAAAAGGTCGTCCGCATCTACACGAACAAACGAAACGATACTCGGCGGCACAACCGCGATCCTACGCTCTCAATTACGCCGACAATGTCACCTTCAAATGCCCCTGGCACCGGCGCTCCACCCCCGTTCTCCTCGACCCCAGACTCCACTTCGGCGACTACGACGGCAATAAGCAACTTGATGCCTCCTCCCCCGCCTCTGCTCCTCAGCAAGCGCGTCACCGCTTTCCTCCACGCAAACCTCTCGCCATATATCCGAACGGCGGCGCTGACCACTCCCGCCGGGAAGCTGCTCGCCCATGCTAGTAACGGGCTGAGTGCCAGTGCACTGAGGCGACAATGTGCCGTGGCCGCTTCGCTTTGGGGGCTCCATCACCCATCAGGCTCTGAATATGGTGGTGGTGGTGGAGACGCGCATGGGGCGGGGGACCACCATGTGATTGGGAGTCCAACAGGGAGCACAGCGAGTCAGAGCACGGTTGGGACTACGAGGGGGGGCGCCGCAGGAGGAGGCGGGCTAAGAGCGCGGCCAGTGCCTGGACAGGCGGTCACGGTGCAAATGGACAACGGGCTGGTGTTTGTGATTAGGAGGCTGAGGTGCGGCATGCTGTTCATATGCATGGGTGGTGAAGAGGGACACGGCAATGGGAAACAGCCAGGGGAGACGGAAGCGAATGGGGAGGGGCTGCCCACACCACATCTCGACCCCGGTCTCCAACATCATCTCCCCTTGCGCGCGGGACCACATCGGACACCCACATCATCCTCAGCGACATCGGCGAGGTCAAAGAGGGAAGCGGACCTCTCCGGGGAAAACACGCCTCTCAGCACATCTACCAACACGGGGCCTTCTGCATCGACCAGCCAAAGCAGCAACACCAACGCAGCGAACAGCGCCACGGGGGCAGCCCGGGGCCCATCGGCATCGAGTGTCAGGGCGATGAGGAGGCAGGTGGAGGAATTGGCGCGTTGGCTGGATGAGCGGTTAGGCACGCTCTATGTTCCGGAGGAAGGTATCGGTCTTGGATTCGGAGGGGCTCCTGGAGTGGAGCTGCGCTAGAAACAGCACAAATGACTTGATAAGTAACGACTTGGCAATGAGGCGCACATTCGAATACCATGGTTTTTGCAGTTACATAATATCTTAATAGAAATGTATCAAAACACTGAGAGGCACAGGGACATGGCAAACGACAAGGGCACACTCGGGAACGGTAGAACTGCTACGGGCAGTCTGGGCAACCCAACACCGGACTGGTTGAAGAAAGGGGAGAGAGAATAGGGTTCAAACAACAGCCCAAAAATGGGACAAGCCGAAGGAGACGCACAGCGATATTTGGGGATTTGTTGGCTTTCATAGAGTGGCATCGATTGCATCATATATACCCAGCGGAAGGGCAGAGGTACCTTACATTCGCCAAAATGCAAGACATGATTTCGGTATTACATGAACTCGGTGACCTTTCGTGACATTCTATTTCGCCCTACGTAGCAAGCCATCTCCCATATGTATACCTAGAGGTATGTACCGTCGGATAATCCCAAATGAAAATCATTGAAGGGTGGTCCCGCCAGAACCTTAGCGGTAGTTCTAGGGCTCGGTTGAATTGTACATCAGGGCAAGCAAGCAACGGGCATGGCGGCGGACCTGGGAGTGGCCTCGGCGACGGCCCCTTTCCCGCCAAGCTGCTCCCCGCAAAACCCCTATGACGACAGTGGGGTCCAGCGCTTATCGGAGCCCAACTCTCATAAGGGACACCACCGATAGCTCTTCTCCCCTACTTGACAACTTCCACTTCCCCTTGAACTTTTACAACCTCGGATGTCGACTTAAAGCACAACAAGTCAAAGACACAGATCCATTCCGGAAGACGATATACAATTATCATGGATCCAACGTCCAAACGCCCGCCTCCCGCGGCATCCTCCTCCACGACCTACCCACCCCTCCCCAAGCTCGAATTCCTCAACTCCTCCGCCCTTCCCTCCCACCGCTTCCTCCGCCCAGCCAAGCGCATCAACGAAGGCCCCGACGTCTCGCACTTCCTGACCTCCAAAGCCTACCGCGACATTGGCGTTTGGATCCTCCAGCTCAACCACGCCCTCGTTCCGCGAATCATCAAGAAGTCAACCACAGCTTCTACTTCCGAGCCCACCAAAGATGGACAACAACAGCGACAACAAAAGACAGAGGAAGCCAACGAACAACCACCACCACCACCACCACCACCACCACCTACAGATGCCCTAGCGGCCAAGCTCCAGCTACTACGCAAAAAGAAGGATGAGCAGCAGCCGACGGAAGAAATCAAGACTTTCCCTTTGCCTAGGTATAGGGACGGGGAAGGGGTAGATTACCAAGAGGAGCCCGAATCAATCAAAAAGCTACAGCGGTTGTTGAAGAAGGTGGAAGCCATCATTGACGAGGCGCCGCCTGATCCTGGTCCGAGAAGGTTTGGGAATGTGAGCTTTAGGACGTGGTTTAAGCTTTTGGAGGAGAGGGCGGATGGGCTGTTGAGGGAGTATTTGCCGCGTGGGGTGTTGAGGTGGGAGCAGGGTGCTGCTGCTGCTGCTGGTGGTGGTGGTGAGAAGAAAGAGGAGGAAGAGGGGACGGAAACGGAAACGGAGACGGAGACGGAGGGAGACAGTGACAAGAAAACAAATGAGCAGAAGCAGGAGGTGGCGGGGCCATTGGAAGAGTTGAAAGCGTACTTCCTTGGTGGGTTTGGGAGTGCGCAGCGGTTGGATTACGGGACTGGACATGAGTTGAGCTTTATCATGTTCCTTGGTGGACTCTGGAAGCTGGGTGGCTTTGAAGGAGAGGAGAATGATGAAGATGGGGAGGTGGAGAGGAGGATTGTGTTGGGGGTCGTTGAGCCGTACGTTCACCCTTTGCTGCCCATTCTCTTGAAGGGATCACGATGCTAACGAACTTAACAGTTACCTTCGCGTCATCCGCCGTCTAATCCTAACCTACACCCTTGAACCAGCCGGCTCCCATGGCGTCTGGGGTCTCGACGACCACTCCTTCGTCCCCTACATTTTTGGCTCAGCGCAGTACACTCGCCCCATCTCCTCGCCCAACGAACCCACACCCCTCGAGGGCTCCGTCCCTAACGCCCCTAAGCCCAGCGACATCACCAAGCCCACCGCCGTCGAGCGCTACCGCACCGAAAACATGTACTTCTCTGCCATTGGCTTCATCTACGACGTCAAAAAGGGTCCCTTCTGGGAACACAGTCCCATTCTCTTCGACGTGTCGGGAATCAAGGACGGCTGGGGCAAGATCAACAAGGGCATGATCAAGATGTACAACGCCGAGGTACTTAGCAAGTTCCCCGTCGTGCAACATTTTCCCTTTGGAAGTCTGTTCCAGTGGGAGAAGGATCCGGAGGCGGGAGTACCCGTGCAGAGCGTGCATATGCAGAATCAGCCGGTTGCTTCGGCTGCTTCGGCTGCGGTTACTGGTGGTGTGGGTATTCCTACGGAGAGACCTTCGGGGCCGGGAGGTGTGACGGGAACGGCGGCGCCTTGGGCTCAAGCTCCTGCGCAGGCCCCTGGAACGTGCATGGCTCCCCCGATGACAGCCGCGCCGTGGGCAAGATCCACGGGGGCGGGAGCGGGAGCAGGGGTTGGAGCATCGGCGGCGAACAGGTTTACGCCATTCAAGCCTGCTGGAGGGCCGGGAGGAGCCCCACACACGGGACCTCCGCCGCCGGAAGCGTTCCCGAGCGGGACACCGGGGACCGCGAGTAACCAGTTTGCGGTGACGAAGGCGCCATGGGCCAAGTAGTGTTGTCTGAAGGCAAGTGGCACTGATGGAAGAGGTGTAGATACGAGAAATGCTTGTTATAGATGAACGATACCCATGACTTTGTCAGCTCAAAAGATGCAACGAACTCATACGGTTGGAATTGTGCGGTGCAACGTAAGCCATCGATCGATCGGATGTCGACGCCAGCAACGCCAAGAACCGTCTGTGATGCCCTTCGGAGACTTCGGTGTTGGGAAGATGCGTGAGCCTCTGTGTGACCGTACCGAACGTACCGAAGGCTTTCTTGGCGGCGCCGAATTGTGCGGTAGTTCGGCACCGTGTTGTGGTGAGCATGATGAGGTACGTCGGTGAATTATGAGTATTTTTTCCTGTTGTTCGAACAATCCCACCTAAACACAATCTTCTCTTTTCTATAAAGATGTTACACATCTGACATCGAGATCAATTCAATTTTCAAATTGCAGACACCATCAAGTTCACATCCATAACTCCAACATCACTTGGCATAGTAAACATCTCGAGGACAAGGAAGAGGGGGAGGGACCCAAGTCGGCTCCCGGCACGATGAACCCCCACAACCCGCTATCATTCCAAGCCGCGCCAACTCACAGCGCCGAGCGGGCACTGCGGGGAACGGCGCTAAAGCTTTCCATCCACTTCGGACAAGACAGCCCAGGAGCCCAGTGACAAGGAAGCAACCTCGACGGAAAAGCCCGCAGGAAAGCTTGACACCCACCACACCACACTACACTACTGTACACTACACTCCCACTCTTTGTTGAAGCGCTATCCCCGATCCGACGATAACCTGAGCGGGCGGGAGGCCGGATTTTACATACATAAGGCATCCTATCCCTATCATCTCACATCCAAACAAGGCTTTATGCAGGAAGCAACGTCACCTGGACGGACGGACGAACGAGAATTGGTCACACGAGAAAGCCACGAGGTGGTGTCCCGAGCGTGTGAAACGAGTCTTTCTCGAGATAAAAAGATTGAAGAAGGGTTTGGGTTGGGTTGCGGGTTTCGGTGTGAAGCGAAAGGGAAAGGGGGAAACGAACGGTAAAAAAAAAAAAAAAAAAAAAAAAAAAGAAAAAAAAAAAAAAAAAAGTGTTTAGAGATCTTGAAAACAAAAGGAAATCGATGGAATCATCCACGAGTTGTTGAAGATCTGTCTCCACGTGGGAAGAGAGGAGTCTGTGAATGGAGCTTCTTCCCTCACGGAAAGCTGTTGCGCGTAGGCTTGTAGACCAGGGACAAACATAAGGGGCGGCGCGGGGGATCCATGCTCGCTCAGGGTCTTTTGACTACCTAGTCTTGAGTTTTAAGATATCAGATATTATATCTTAGACTCTTACTTGATACACTAATCTAGGTGTCTGTTAGGTTCAAATAGGAAGGTTTCGTTATCGTGAAATTGCTGGGAGAAGATCTGTAGCGAGGTAGACTGGACGCCGTGGACGAGCAGTGAGTGGTTGAGAATAACATTCCCGTCTTTCGCTGGGCACCACCCCCCCCCCCTTGTCGTTGAAGTTGGAAGGTTGCACCGAGCCATTGATGGAACGCTGCGGTTGGCTCCATCCATGTAACTGTACATACACAGGGCACTACGGCTAGGTTATGCGTAGGCTCTCGCAGGGTAGGTACCAACACGTGTAAGATTGAATGGTAGGGCGAAATCGGTACGTAACGGTTTAGAGCACAATAAGGTAACGGTTTAGGTAGTCTGGAAGAGCAGAGCACGACGTTCAGAATCTACCTGGGCCGCGATATCTCAACCAAATAGGCCGTCAAGATGGTGATTCTTTTTTTGACGGGGCAATGAATTCTAGCATACTGATAATCATACAGCCAAAGAAAAAAAAGCGAGGGGTTCGAGGGGTTCTATACAGTTGTAGATTGTAGTTCTTGTTGGAAGACAGACACATTGGGCCCCCCTTGTCGCCGGTCGCCGCCCAATGAGCGTGGCAGCAGATGTGGGTCAGTTACCCGATTTCGCATTGCCGCCGAACCACCAGGTCGTTGCCAAGCACCAAGTTACCAGCCTTTTTCCTCCCCAAACTTGGACCGAGAGAATGTCAATCACTTGGAAAAAGAAAACCATGGAAATCGGACTCAAAGTATTTGATCGAGTATCCTAGTGGACCAGTAGTCTCACCCGCCGCCACTTAATCTGCACACGTGCTACAGTACCTGACTCTCATTCCTTCACTTCTCTGAGCCCTGTGATTGTCCTCTTGTCTTTCCTTCTTTGTTCAAGTTCCGTTGTCTCGGTTCTGTAGTATCCGAGCCGTTGGTGAGCTGAGCCGAGCTGAGCTGATAACTTAGTCCTTAGCTTCAGGGTAGCTTTCCAAGTTAGGTAAAAGTTTACAGACAACGAAGTTGACAGCCTCTTTCTTCTTTTGCCTCTCTTCCTCCCTTTCACCTTTTTTTTTTTTTTTCTCTTGATCTCATACCTTTTTTCTTCTTTCAGACCATCCTACCTACGATTCTCCAATATTCGCAGAGTAAAGTGCGTATCAAGTCAAAGTCGAAAGTATACCCTTATCCGACTTACACGCACACACACATACCCCGGCGCAACAACCATGTTCGGATTCGGCCAACGCAAGGCCGAAGTTGAGACCACAGCGCAACCCGTTGATCAGCAACAAGACGCCAATTTCGATACCCTCGTCAACGAAGGGCCAAATGGGGGAAAGACGAACTGGAAGAATCTGATTCCGGTGATTGCTTGTGGTGCTGGACTCTTTTCAGATGGGTATATCAACAATGTATGTCTTATCAGTCTCTCTTCACTTTGCTTGAAGCGGAATTACACTCGACGTAAAGCACAAGGCATTTGCAAATTCGAAAGACGAGAAATGGAAGACTGACAGGAACAATGCTTCATACAGGTCATCGGCTCCGTCGTCACCATTCTAGACCGAGAATATCAGGAAGTCTGGAGAAACTCGAACGCGAAGAAGTATGTGGGCGACATTGCGTTTGCCGGAACGGTGGTGGGGATGTTATTGTTTGGATATCTGTGAGTTTCTCTCTTCACTTTCGAGGCCCCCAACGACGAAACCAAAAGAAATTGTAACCAATTAACACTGAGAAAACAAAAGATCCGATAAATGGTCACGAACAAACTCCCTCCTAGTCTCAACCATCATCCTTATCATCTTCGCCGCCCTCGCCGCAGGAAGTTACTACAAGGGTGACGCAGTCGGCATGTTCAACATCCTTACCGCCTGGCGCTTTTTTGTAAGCCTTTTTTTCTTCTATTCCACTTTCCCTCCCAATCCTCTTTCATATCAAACTAACATCTCCTGTTCCAAAGGTCGGCCTCGGCATCGGAGGCGAATACCCCGCTGGCTCCGTCGGCTGCGCCGAAAACACGGGCGAGCTCAAGTCCGGCCAGCGCAACATGTGGTTCATCCTCTTCACCAACTCCATGATCGACTGGGGTTTCGTCATCGGTGCCTTTGTTCCCTACGTCGTTTCCGCCGCCTGCCACAACGGCCACCTCTCCACCATCTGGCGCACCAGTCTCGGCATCGGCGTCGTCTTCCCCCTCGTGCTCTTCGTCTTGCGCCTCTTCGTCTCCGAACCCGAAGAGTTCCAGAAAAACAGCATGAAGAACGCCCGCACGCCTTACCTCCTCGTCCTGCGCTTCTACGGCTTCCGTCTCTTCATCGTCTCCCTCATCTGGTTCATCTACGATTTCTCCGCGTACAGCTTCGGCATCTACTCGCCCAAAATCGTTGCCAACATCTACCCCGCCGACTCGCCCCTGACCACCATCTTTGGCTGGAACACCGTCATCAACCTCTTTTACATCCCCGGCACCATGCTGGGCGCGCCCGTCTCGGACCTGCTTGGGCCCCGCTACGCTTTGGCGCTCGGCGTCTTTGCGCAAGCCATAGTGGGCTTCATCATGGCCGCGTGCTACTCGTCCCTCGCACAGCCCGGTCGCGTCGCTGCTTTTGCTGTCGTCTACGGCATTTTCCAGAGTCTGGGCGAGCTAGGACCGGGAAACAACATTGGCCTCATTGCGGCCAAGACGTGCGCCACGGGCATCAGGGGACAGTATTATGGACTGGCGGCGGCCGTGGGCAAGATCGGTGCCTTTGTCGGGACGTGGGTGTTTCCTTATATTGAGGCGGCGGGTGGAGGGGATGAAAGGTTGGCGGCGCAGTACCCCTTTTGGGTGTCGAGTAGTTTGTGTGTCTTGAGTGCGGTGTTGGTCTTGTTTTGCTTGCCGCATATTGGACAGGATACGATCCAGGCGGAGGATGCGAGGTTCAGGGCTTTCCTGGAGGAGAATGGCTATGATACTCGGCAACTGGGATTGAGGAAGGGGGAGGAGATTGGAGAGTTGGGGAAGGCGGAGGGGGCGGAGGAGGTGAGTATTGAGAAGAAGGTAAGTCCTGCTCAGTGAGGAGGGTTTGGATGGTGTTTTGAGGAGGGGTAAGGAATTGTTTTACTTGAAGGTGGAAGGGAAGGTTGTGGTGTTCGAAAACTTTGACGAAGAGGTGGGTTGGGGAGGTAATGGATGATGATTGTATGATTGATATCCCATAGTAATACGAAATATAACACTATACACATGCATATCTCACAATTGTCTGTGATCAGAAAAGATCAAAGTAAACTAGAATTGAATGAGCAGAGTGAAACGCCTATCTACCTACCATAGTAATAAACCTAGACTAGTCCGAAAGGGTTATGAAGCCCCCACAAAGAGACAACCACCAGTGACAACACCTGGAGTAACTCCCTTGCTCCGGCCGTTGTACCCAAGGCACATAACTCCGTATTCAAATGAGTGAATGACTGTCCCATAATGCTGACAACCATAGGAAATAACTGAAAGGAAAGAAAAGCAAGTAGTCCTGCAAAAGAAAATTGATGTATCCCAATGATGATGAAAAGCAGACCAGCCGGCCCCCTTTCACTTACCGTAAAGCACAAAGCCAGACCAGACAGAACCAACCGATGCAGAAGTGTGTAGACAAAACCACAAGATCCCCCCGTTCCGGTTCACACAAACACCAACACCCTAGTACACCCATACACCCATACACCTCAAGCACCGAGTATGCTGATGTTCCCTTCCATCGTCTTTGTGTCCATTCCCTTCCCAAATGCCATATCCATGTCCATAATATCCAATCCAATCCATACGGTACCCATACCATCCATAACTCAACATTCATCAGACCTCACACTAACTACTCATTGTTCCCCCCTATGCGACTCATGCACACTCCTAGTCGCACCACTTGCACTTCCATAACCATAACCGTGACCACCAGCATCAGCAACCAACCTCACCTCCCTCTGCTGCTCCCCATACTGCCCTCCTCCATATCCACCACCACCACTTCCCTGACCGCCGCCCCCGTCCGACCCAATCCCGGCCCTATAACTACCCCCACCATACAACATCTCCATCAGCTTCCCCTTCTGCCTCGTCCTCACGCCCTCGAGGTACACACCCACGTCTTCCAATCCCCGAATCTGCTCATCAATCGTCAAAGTCGAGCTATTCACGCTTCTAACCAGCGGAGACACCAGTTTCCGCCGCAGATTCTCCAGGGACGCTTTCAGCGCCAGGAGCTTATGGTTATGTTCCACCAAGATCCCCTTGTTGCGCACCGTCTTTTCCCGGACGTTTAGCAGAAGGAGGCGGTTCCGCTCGTATTTCTGGATATCGCTCGCTTTGGCGCCAAGAATTCTGGTCCAGAGAGAGGACAGTAGATCTGCGTGTAGTTCTTCCTGCAGGGAACTTTCGCGGACGACGGTGCGCGCGAGGTTCAGGAATTGGTGGTCGATGGCTTCGAAGAGGGCAAAGATGGCTAGGGAGTGCTGCAGTTCGTTGGTGATGGCTTCTTCTAGAACGGCAAGGAACTCGTTGAAGGTGCGCTGGAGAGTGGTCCTTGTGCGCTGTGGGGTGGAAGGGCCGAAGAGGGAGGTGGCGATGAGACCGAGGCGGGTGGGTTGCGAGGTGGAGGGGTCTTCGAGGATGCCGAAGGCGGAGAGGAGGTTGTGGACGTTGTCGAAGAAGGAGGAAAGAGGCGGGGAAGGGAGGTGTTGGAGTTGGGAGAGCTCGCGGCGGGCCCAGTCCATTACTATTAGGATGCTGCAGTACTTCGTTCAGTATAATGATTATATGAATGGGAGGGGATATAGAGGGGAGGAGGACATACCCGTCGATGTCACCGTCTACGTTGGCGAAGAATTTAGTTAGTTCAATAGCCAGCGTTTTGAGACTTTCGCTCAACTCGTCCAGCTCCTTGACGATGATAGGTGCCGACGTGAGGTTACTGCTGCGAACACTCTCGCCTAGATCCCATACCGCCACGCCGGTCGCTTGCAGGTCGCCCACTTGCTGAATGCCATTCTCGGAGTAGTAAATGAGCGGCTCAAAGGAGCGCGCCACACCGGCCACCTTGACGAGATCAGGCACGGGGCTCATAGACGCCGGCTGAAAGAGCGAGCGCATGGCGGCATAGGAAAGAATGGCTACGAGGCCCGACAGGAACATGGAAGACCACGAGGTGGTCAACGGGCCGAGCCATTTGCGCAAAAAAGTGACGGCTGTTTCAATGGGTTCTGTGCGTTGATGGACTTCTGCCCTGACCGCAAAGCGGAAGTCTACAGTGGAGTGACGGAGTTAGCCGTTCAGATGTCTTACTTTTCTTATGTCATGATGGATCTCTCATTTGGGAGCTATGAAAGGGTGATGGATGATGAAAGGGAACAAAGAAAGCAAACGAACAGTTATCAGGGCCCTTACGGGGTAACCCCCTCAAAACCATGCCCGCATCCTCCTCCATCGGTTCTTCCTTGATCTTGACATCGTCTTCCTCGATCACCGGCGCCAACCTTTGGTGCTGCTGTTGGCGTTCGGCCTGCTTTTGCAACTGCTGACGCCGCGCATACTCTGGTTCCGGACTCCTCTCCTTCTCGGGACTTAGGCTTCCCGTTGGTAGTCTTGTCCTGATGGCTTTCTGCAAGATTGCGTCCTGGTCCATATCGTCTTCATTCATGCTATCATACTCGGGACTAGTTTCGAAATCTCTTGACCACCCGCCATTCCCTAATCCGCCGCCGAGACCACCGAACCCGCTTAACAAGAGCGGGTCGATAGCGTTGAGACGCGAATTAGCCTTGCGCCAGAAGCCGCTGCTGCGGTCGCCGTTGGCGAGGCGCCTCCACGCTGGCGGGCTGTAGCCACCGTGTGACGCTTCCCCGCCATCCACCTCCTGGTCGCTCATGTCGCTCTCCGTGTCGTCGCTCCGGAAGCCCGAGTGCACTGATGGGTACCCGAACGGTGTCGCCTGCTGGTGATGATGGGGATGTTGGGGGTGCGGAGTTTCGCCTTTGGCTGAAGTAGTCGGAAGGGGGATGCTGAAGAAGCGGCTGTTGCTCCGGCTTACCGGGAGCGAGTGACAGTGCTCGAAGTCCTCCAGTGAATCGTCGAGAAGATGGTCGAGATGCCCTAGGTTCTTCGGCGGGGCCGCCGTTGCAGCTGTCATGGCTGGCAAAGATTTGGCGCGGGCCGTAGCTGATGACGTGGCGCGCGCTGCTGGGGACTTGACTCGGTGAAGAATCTCTGCTGGTGCGGTAGATGATCTTGCGACCGAACGAGGAAAGTCCTCGGTTCTTTTCCTTGTCTCTTTCTTTGGTCAACTTCCTGGGGCTGTCAGTGGAAGTGACGCCGCCACTGCTGATGTTGCTGTCGTTGCTTTTCTTCCTGCCAAAGAATTCTAATAGCGCCGGAAGTTGCTTATCGGCGATGGCTTTCTGTTGATGTTGCCGGTAATGTAGTTCCTTTCTTTCTATCCTTTGCACGCCACCGTCGTCGTGTGGATAATCCTGGTGCTGATCCTGATACTGTTGATAGTAGTCGGCGCCGCGATACTGACGCTGATAATGGTTGCGATTCCAATTGCGACGGTTGATGTCTTCAATCCCCTCTCGATATCTTGGGTCTCTGGGCGCAGCTGAGTATGCGCCGGCGTGTTTGTTGGCTTTATCGAGGAAGTTGAAGCGGAAGAACAAGGCCTTCAAGGAGACGAGTTGCGGCAGATAAAAGTAGAGAAAGAAGAGGAAGACGACAAGAGTGGCGACCCAGGCGCTTGGCGCAATGGTTAGGCTTATGAGTGATATGTTGCTGTTGACGGTGAAGAGTGACTGCATCGGATCGAAGTGGCCGTCTCCTTCTGAGGATTTGGGCGCAAGGCAGCAATCGCAACTGGTCGCAACACCGATTGACGCCAATTGCCTGCTTGCGCGGTCGAGAAAACGGGTCGGCGCTCTTCCTAACAAGTCGCTATCGTGGTCGCCTGGCTCTGCTGGTTATGCGCCGCCAATGGTCGTGGTGGTTTATGGCCCTCTTTCGGATGTGGTGGACCTGGTGCCTTGAGATGTCGAGGTGAAAGATGGGGCACTCTGGGATGATGCTGCGGATGGTGGTGGATGGGGATGGATGTACCCTTCCTTCGATGGGATGGAATGCGGCAGCGGGGGGGCGTTTGTGGATCTGGAGGGGGAGAGAGTATGGAGGTACCTTTCCTGAGGCACAGAGAGGTACCGTTAAAGTGCTTGCAGTGAGATAAGCCAAGCCTCTGACCCTGTCGAGCGATCAGATGGGATTTGCTATCTTGGTCGACAAGAAGATGCCTTGCGGCGGCTGTATAGAATGGAGCTAGTGGTCGAGTTGGGAATACACTATGTAGAGTGGGTGGAATGGCATGTGTGTAGTGTATGGAATGTGGTGTGCGGTGGGGGAGGGACAAAGTTGGAACATCCATTCAAGTCCCCAGTTGTCGTCGATGGGAAGTCTCCATCATCTCCACCATCCCCATCTCCATCTCCATCTCCATCTCCATGCCATGCCCATGCCCATGCCCTGGTCCTGTGTCTACCCTCTCCCATGGCGGCGGCAGTCCCCCCTCCCCTCCCCCTCCACTCTCTTCCTTCCTTCTTGTCCTCCCCTCTTCCAACTGAAGTGGAATTCACTCGTCTCCTTCCTCCCCACCACACCACCATCTCTCTCAGTGGTATAGAGAACCCTTGAACGGTCAAGTCCAATCGTCCAACGCATCCACCCTCCATCCCGTCAAGCGTCAACGGTCCTCACGCGCGCACATGCGTTGCGGCGACGGCGGCAGAACCCATCTAAACGAAATGGCTGGACGAGGAATCTCCCGTGAGACACACATAGCCAGTAACAACAACACCCCACCCCCGAGTTCAGTTGACTTCCACTTGCTGCAACCGTCCTCCGTTTGTCTACACGTCTTTGTTGATTTGTTCGTTCGTTCGCTACACTGCAGTGCTGGACAGCAGTCCAAAGGGAGGATAGCAGACAACTCCCATTGGGTGATTATTGCCTACAAACTCGTGTTTCACCACATGACAGTTTGTCGAATCGTTTTCAATCTCCTCCGTCTTTGCTGCCAGTGAGCGGTTCCTATTCATCTCTTTCTCCCGTCTCCCCGTCCGTCTTTTGTTTTTAGACCGGAATGAGGTTGCTCCAGTGTGTGAGTGGTTGAGTGGTTGCGTTTGACAAGAGCGGTTCAGTTTCTCTCCCTTCCATTTCCCGACTTCCCTCCCTTTTTTTTTCTCTCTTCTTTCTCTTTTCTCTTTTTTTTTTTTTTTCTCATTTCTTTCTTTCTTTCTTCTCTCTTTCCCTTCCGACCTCCTCCTTTACGCCCTCTTCTATATGCTTTCCAAGCTAAGCCACCAAACCACATACAAATTCGCATACTTCTATCCCCTTGTCAAACATATTCGTTCCCATCATTCCTCTTCTGTCTGTCAAAACCAAAACGTCATCCACCTAAGTGGATCCACCAACCAAACCGTCATCCGTCAAACCCACGGACCCGTCCGATCGTTGTCATGGATGTGGATGGGGCACTTTGAGAGAAAAGCGGGGGCAATTGGTCGGTTACGTATCGCCCCGCTTCTTAGACTTATCGATAAACTGATAGGACGGAGTTCCTCCTCCCCCAGTCCCCCCCATCAGGTCCGTCCATTACGACTTTTTTAACAACGAACGGGACGGACTTCCGAAAGACGAAGGAGAGAGAACTAAAGAGTTGTTGTTCTTCAAGATTCAAGCCTCAAGCAAATCACGTCCATCCAATGAGTAAAATAGTTGTCGGGAGAAAGTCCTATCGAAGAAGAAGAAGAAGCAAAACAGGTTACGTACTGGACTGGACTGTGAGAAGAAGAAGACATGGCATCGGTACACTGATACCTTCTCACTTGACTGTGTAACCAAAGCCCTTGTCGAGTATCTGGTCACACCCCCCCCTTTCTGCGGTCCTCTCAGTCCAACATCCACGACAAGGGTATGCTTTCTCTTATCAGCTGACAATGGCTAAGCTCAGTCTCCTCTCTTCGGTCTTCTCACGTGAACCAGCTTGACTAGGAAGAGAAAGTGACAAGATAAAGACTGAGAAAGAGAGGGGAAAGATACGGCAATTCTCGGTTAACAATCTTGATGACCAGGGTTGAGCAGGTATGTAGTAGGGCACTTTAAGGCCGGTAGTGGTGGAAATCAATAGTACACTAGTGTATATACCGTAGTAACTCGGTCCGTTGTCTAGTTGGCAAAAGTATAGTATAGCTTTTACCAAACTCGCCGAGAGTTGCAACAACAGTGTGGTAATGGACGCAAATGAGTTGGAGAACGAACGAACGTCTCATATGCCCTGCGAGGGGGGCCGGAAGTAGAACGTTAAAAATAACAACATCAACAACAACAACAACAACTGAACCTTGGGCTTAAGAGAGGGTATCCAATGTGGATATGTGTGACACCTCTACCGGTACATGACATGTTAGCGCGGTACTGCTACTTTACATTATTTAGAACATTAAAGGTGAGTAAAGCAGCTATCTTTTGTACCAGACAGCAAAGTTACTGCCATTTTGCAGTTCACCACGCTAACCTATTGGATGCTGGCAGGAGGTCGGTCGGTGTACGGCGAGATAAGACATTGATTGACCTCGGTGCGATCAGTACCAGTAACCAGGGTCATGAAGAACATTACTAGTAATAATATCAGATCGTCATCGTCATCGTCATTTCTATAACCGCACTGCCCTCTTCGCTTCTGGGTATAGACATGGAAAGAAATCGATCAAAGTAGAGAAAGAAATCAAAAAATCCAACGACCCATTGCACAGATAACATGTGTAACCTTGATCAAACTAAGAAGAATGTATCGTACTATTCGTATAGGTATTGATGTTAAGATCTTCTGTTAAGCACAAAAAGGATCGCTGAATCCGATTAACCATCACTACCTTCGACGAAAGTCTTCCATGTTGTCCTGCTTAGCAAGTCCCGTTTGTAATTGATCCTACGCTTACTTTTATTATTCCTTTTCCTTCCTGGGTTTCCCGTTTGATTGAAACCGTCGTAAGAGTTGAGTTAAATAACTGACTCCATTACATCCACCACGCGTTACCGTCCTTAACCATATAACCACCGTTCTTTGCTATCCGAGACAGCTCATCTACCAACGAAGCAGTCCATCTACCAAGGAAAAAAAAGCCCCAATGCAACTCAGCTCAATTCCTCCATCCCGTAGGACGAGGCGCCGATTGTTTCTAATCAATCTTTGCGCTGGCCAAGCTCCTCGCCGTCGGGTTATTGATGTTATTGACCTGGTGCGTCGCTGGTAGCCTCTTGTACTTGCTCTGCTTCCTGAGGCGTTTCCTGGCCACCATGACAGGGACTGAGCTCTTGGTGACGAGGTAGTTGGAGAAGGAGCCGAGGATGACACTACACATCACCAGCTGTGTTAGTACCAGATTGGAAAAAAAAAAAAAAATAAGGCAAATAAAGGGGAAAAAGAAAAACGGAAAAAGGACATACCCCTTGAGCGCACTCCTTCCTCTGCTCCCCAAAATCACCAGCGTCGGGTTCACATGATCAATCACCTCCGTAATCAGATGCTTTGGGTTCTTGCAATGCAACACCTCCACAATCACCCGCACCTGCAACCTCGTCTTGCGCAACAGCTTGGTCACTCGATCACTAATCTCCTGAACCGCGCGGTATCTCTCCTCCTCGGCCCTGCTGCGCTCCCGGCTCGAGTGCGACGGTGTCGGCGATGGATCCTCGCCAATAGCCGATGAGCTGTTGCCTGTTGATAGCATGCCCGATGCCTCCATGCTCGTTGCTGCCAAGGGAGAGAGGCTGCCCGCGCCTCCTCCGTTTTGTATGGCGCTCTTGCTATTGGCCATTCTGTCGAGCGCTGTGGCTGTCTCTCTCATGGCCTTGGCGTCGTCGGGGACCATGCTTGCTGCGAGCGAGTTGCCGTCGGCGCCGAGAATGCCTGTTTCTTCGTCCACACAGTAAATAGCTATGAGGGTGTCCCCGTCTCTGAGAACTGTGCCGATAGCCCATTCCAGAGCGTGTGTCGACTCCTCACTAAGGTCGGTGGCGACCAGATATTTGCGTGGCTGATTGTGCTCGTCCTGCGTCTCCTGAACCAGCTGGGAGTAATCGCCACGCGTAATGATTTGGATGGTTCGGTGCACCTCGGGCTGGCTGATGATTTGGGTCACCGCGAACGACAGCTTCTGGGCGCGCTTGATATCGGTAAGATCCGCCTCAGTGTCGGAATCCATAGGGGTGCGTGATCCGGATGACGGGAGGTCAAAGCTCGTCGCAGGGTGCACTCCAGGCTTGCGGGTTCGCCCTGACGGTCCGGTTACCGTGATTGCGGGTTCATCAAGAAGGGATCGGTATGTGTACTGAGGCTGTTGCTTTTCCACCTGAATGCCTACACCATCAACACCGTTAGCAATCTCTCTCTCGCACCATAACGTGTGCAAGGGCGTGTGAACATACGTTCTTCCTCTGCCGCAGCCAATAAGCTCTTAACCTGCCTGTTTCCTTGCGCAAGCTCTGGAGCTTGCTTTGCCTTGGTTTCAGTGGTATTCCGAGCGGCTTTCCTGCCCCTGTCTAACTCGCCTTCGGACGAACTCTCATTGTCTTCACTACTATCTTCCACCAAAGGTTCCCCATCCGGGCCCATATAGTCCTTAACCAATCTCCCACTTCCAGGCGCATCGTCCGACTTTTTTCGTAGTGTCACTTCTGCCAGGTTACCCCCCGACCTGACAAGAGCCGCATCCGATAGGTGTCTGTACGCGGTATTCATCTTGTAATCCAAAGCTTCGTCGAGCAAGGCACGTCCGGCAGGGCTAAGTTGTCGCTCGGCCAACAACTCGTGGGGCGACTTGGAACGCATGCCGGAGCGACCATGTGGGGACTTGGATTTGGACTTATTCGAGGGTCGCGCTGTCGAGACACCGGGGCCAGGGAGCGAGGTGTGACGTCCCCTCTCGCTGGGAAGGACCAGATTGCTGACGTCGTTGCTCTTCATAACCTCAACCATTGACGAACTCTGGCGCTTTCCGCCCTGTGTGACTCGCTTGGGAAGGGCCTGACCGGTGTGGTTGGGGTTGGTGATAATGTCGCCGAACTGGTAGCTGTTCATCGGGTTCGACCGCGCCGAGGCCCTGGGGCCAAACTCGACCGGCTTGATTCCTGCATCCGACAAGCTGCGTGGATGCGGGCCCTTGTAGGATTTGGGTTCTATAGGCGAGTTAGGATTGCTGAGTGGCGTCCTGGAGCTGGTGGCGGCCGGGATGTCGAGCATACTGCGGACGGGTTTTGCCGGGCCAGGGGCGATGTCGAGCATACTTCGTACCGGGGCTAGATATGACGAAGCGGTCTTAGCATGAGAGAGCACAGGGGTAATGGGAGGGGGGAGGGGGGAGCCAGCAGAAAGGTGGTCATCACCAATATCTAGCATGCTGCGCACGGAAGTCCGTGGCGTCGTGAAGGGTGAGGGTGAGCGGTCTTGGAACATACTTCCAGCTCGAGAACGCGATCCCTGTCCGTTGGGTCCTTCCAGCAAGGCAAGAACTTCTTTCCGCTCCTCATCTAACATGGCCTCCATCGACATGATCGGGGTTTGTTTACGCGCCATGGTGGGCAAGCTTTGATGCGACACCGGTGGTGGACGGGGGTATTTTCGATCAATCTATAGTAAAAGGATATAGATTCGGTAAGGATAAAAGTCGTTGCTATAGCTGTAGATGCTGATGTTGTATGCAATCCAGAGCAGCGGCTTCGTTGTTTCGGTCGTATTTGACGTGTGAAAGGATGTGAAGATTCCTTCTATAGGTGATGGCGATGTCGTGTAGCGGCGGCGGTGTGGCCCCGTTATACGGTAGGTAAGGGCGACGTGCGTCGTCAGCGCGGGAGGATAACAACAGGAGGGCGATACTGTAAGCTCGCAATATGCCGAGCCAGCATTGTGTTGTGCGAGAGGGGGAAGGACAGAAGGACCGGAAGAAGGGAGGAGACTGAGAGAGAAACGCGCGGTGCAGTGGTGACTGGGGAGGGGGAGGCTGCAACGTTTTCGACTTTGTTGGTCGGGTGAACCTCCTGTGCTTTCACCACACCTGCAGCTAGCTAGGCACAGGCACAGGCGCAGACCAGGATGCTAGCAATAGGCTAGGCTCGGGTCTTGGGTTGCTGGGGTCTTCGGGTTCTAGGTCTTGGGTGTGGATTTCAAGGCTGGGCTCCCTTCTCTTCCTGTTCTTGCCAGCAGACTTTCAGTCGATCACCTGCATGCACATGTTGCGGGGCGACGGCTGCCGAACGTAACGGTAGGTAGGTCCTGACGGTCCTGACGGAAGTGAGCTTCTGTTTTTCCTTTGTTCTTTTCGGCGAAACGTTGGAGGCCGCTCGCTGCTACCTCTACTTGGGAACTGAAGTCGCTCACTCTTTTTGTAAGGGTCTCCCCTCGCCAAGGATCCTTACCGAATGCCAAGCGGCGGCCGATCAGAATACTCGAGTCGACGGGCTTGAAGACGGATGCTGTAACAAACCATCAGTAGAGCCAAGACAGACTGCGGGCTGGGCAAGTGCTGGGCAGTGTCACTGCCTGCCTGTGATTTAAGGCGTACATACTTGTAAGGCTTGAGTAGGTACCTATCCCGGAAACCTGGATGACGGGCCAACTCGCGGCGGGACGGGTTGTTATTGCTGTGTTCAGTTGTTGTGTTTGTTGCCCTTTTCGGAATTCCGTCATCACACGACCGAGTTGGTAAAAGTTGCAGATATCAACTAAGTAGAAGTGAGTGATCAGCCAACGCCGCTTTGCATGGGCTGCCAAACAACTGGGCAATGTTGCAAAGGACATGAACGATCATGTAAGTGGATGAAGTAAGTAGTACCCTTTCAATTTAAGGTTGATTATTTGCCTCCCGCCAAGATCTCTGCACCCGCCCCCAGGTTCAGGCGTTGGAAAGGGGACCTGGACTTTGCGTTCAAGAGCTCCAATGGAGCATTTTGACCGAGCTAGAAGAGCTCCAACATTGCTTGCCCGAGCTGAGTCAGGGTAATAACCGAATCCCATGCTCGGCATTTCTTGATCCACCAGACCACGCGCTGCGCCGCCGTTGGCTCCACACGAGACAGCGACAGTTGTTTGATGATTCTCTATTCAGCCACAACCTCAAATTGCGTACATGTATGTATGTAACGTGTTGCGAGGACACAGGGAAAAAGCAAGAGTAAAATAATAAATTGAAGTGGTCGTGATCTAGGAGTCGTAATTGCGCATGTGATGGATGTTTGCGTACCTAGTCTTTGCCTGTCACACTGCATCGTCCTGAGCGTGGTTGGAGCCCTCTTTCTGTGACCGACAAACTCAATTGACGTGGGCGGTTCTCAGTTATCATATACTGGTTATGAATATCAAGTTCTTTCCTCTTACTTCCTAATGACTATCGATGCTGCTCTTCAGCGAACTTCAAAAAAGACTACTCGCAACAATGATCGCTCCTCTTGATGGCTCTCTTCCTACTCCATTCGAAACCCCCAGTTATTCGACCTCCTGCGATGCTCGTAATAAAAGTCATCTGACGAGACAGCAAACAATCCTCATCATATAACAAGCCGTGGCATTCAGAATCATGTAGAGCTCGTATACGAAATTGTACAACCCGTGTGTCGATATCTTGGCCAGATCACTCCAGGCTGAGGTCCACTGCTGACATGTATTCAAACCATATGGTAGCCACATGTTTTGTACGTGGTATGTAATGTTTGTTATCTCTTAATCCAAGAGTCCGGTTAGTCAGGGGTCATTGGCTACCATCAACCTCGCCATAACCGTGACCAAACAAGCCAAGACAAGACACCCGGCTTCACACAATGAGCCCAAAACCTTTCACCGGCTTTTTCGCTCCATCACAGAGGCGACAGCAGCAGCAGCAGCAGCAGCAGCAAAGTAGTAGCATACATATCCATACACACAACAAACTAGTATACACCGAAAAAAGGGGGTCGGTCAGAGATTGGTTGGCTTCGCTATGTTGTTGGCTTAACAGGGTGTCAATCAATCAAAGAATCAACCTCAGAACCTCTTGCCCTTCAACTGCAGCGCCGGCGAGTTCAAGTTGGCTCTGTTGGCCGTGCCCAGCTTGTGAATCAACATCCGCTTATCCCAGACCGAGCTCCTGCCCTCGACAACAGCCACAATCTCCTCAGCCACGCGGTGCGCAAACATGGTGCGACCGGATCCCTTGCTCGGCTTCTTGTTGACCACATCCAAGATCCACTTGAAGGCCGTGGAGCGGCGCTGGCGCGCCGGAATGGGCTGCGGCACTTCGAGAGAGCGACCACCACCGGCCAGACCCTTGTAGCCGCGCATCTTGATCAAAGGCGCCACCGAGTCGATGGCAACCGTGAGGTACTCGACCGGGTTGAGCGGCAGGTGCGAGGCCGGGGGGTGGCCGGGGATCAGAGGGCGCGAGGGGTTGAGTTTGGGAGGGGGCGAGGAGCGGAGGTAGTTTAGGATCATGGCCATGTCCTGTCATGTTAAGAAAAAGGGTAGTGTGTTAGCTTTATGGTCGCAAAGTAGTTTGAGCAGAGGTGCCGTAGGTAAAGTGGGAGTAATGTGTATATGGGGAGGGACCGTCGTACCCTCTGCGCCTTGCTCAACTTTCCATCCTTCATGAGTAGCTTTGTAGCGTGGTTGACGACCTCCGAGTAGCGGTACTTGTGGTGCAGCTCCGACGGCAGCGGCAGCGTAGGCAAACCGTACTTGTGGCCCTCAATCGCGACGTCGGCCGCCTTGACACCGTATGCGATCTCCGACAGCTGGGACAGGGCGGCAGCGTTCTCCGGGGTGACTTCTACTGGTGGTTGGCCTTCAATACCGGCAAGGTCGCCATTGTTGCTGTTGGTAGGAGGGGTAGTCTCGGTCGAGAATGGTTGTGTCCTTTGTTGTTGTTGCTGGACTTGGACTCTAGGTGGTAGCCTCGACGAGGTGGTGGAATCTGTGATGAGGGTGCGCGCCTGCACGGCGGCGGCAATCGATTGCTGCTGAGGCAATTGGTTTGTCCGGATGGACAGGGACCGGAAGGCGGCACTGAGACCCAACCTCGCAGGCATCTTTTTTTGTGGTGGTGATGCGGGTGTTCGGTAGTGGTGATGGTGGTGGTTGAGTTTGCTGGTCAATCGGCTTGCGACGACGACGACGACGACGACGGTGGGGGTACACACACACGGCGCGGGGGGGAGAACGGCGGCGGCGGACGGAGGGCGGGCCGGCTTGGGAGACACCACTCAAACACGGGGCGGACAGACACTACTACGCGCACGCAACGAACCCGCGAAGCAGCCGGGGGGAGGGACTCGAACACTCGTGATCTCGGCGGACTCTGCAATGTTTGGCCGGCGGCAGTGGCATCGAGTGGAGCCCCGGAGAGCGGGACTTCAGGAACAATTTTTTGGAGCCGCCTTTCCGGAGTTTTCCCGAGGACGACGTTGGTGCGCCGCTGCGGCTCAACCCCCCCCCCCCCCCCCCAAAAAAAAACGACGAGGGAACGCACAGACCATAACCTTAAAAAGCCACCCCCCTCCCCAGCTCCCCTGATCAACAACCGAACTCCATCCGGCAACTCGGACGTGGGCCCCCCCACGCGGCAGCGTTTGTTGATCACCCAACCTGGTCCCCTACCTGGCCATCAGTCGTCGTCATCTTGTATCCTTCCATCCTTCCATCCTTCCATCCAGCCCTCCTTGTTTGGGGTGTTTAATCTGGACAAGGTCAACATGGTACCTTGATGTCCACCAACCCACAGTCTGCGATTTCCAACTGCAGCCGATCTGGTTCCTGATCCTGATCGGCTGATCCTGGGGCTGGGCCCAGGGAGGGTAGAGGTAACCCACCACCTCCACCAACATGCACCTTCGAAGAATCTACGCAGTACTCTACAAGCCATCAAGACAAGGACGCTCACTGGTTACGAGTCCGAGGTTCGTTTCCTGCCAAAGAGGTGCTAGACCGCCTCAAATGTCTCAACAGCAGCATTGTCGGTTCGGTCAAGACAAGCTGGACATAGCAAGTCAGATCGTCATTAGATGCGGTGAGTTCGGTACAGGAAGGACAGTAGGTAAACAAGCAAGTTGAGTTCTCTACCATACTACATACATCGAACACATGTTATTCCACACTTTGTACGCTCTGCTTGTTCTTGTGTGGCTCGCCTTGTCTTGACTGGCTTTGTCTTGTCATGACTTGCCGCCTCACTCTCGATGGGGTGTCCAATATCATGTCCACCACCTTCAGTCAAGGCAGGAAGCCGCATCGATTTTACTTTTACATATCCAAGGTACCCACTAACGGTATCCTGTTGTGCGGTGCATGATGGGTGGTGACTGGTGATCTACACCATATTTCACTATTCTACACTACACCCCCACGGCAAGGTGCGGTTTCTGTGGACCTGGAAGCCTGTAGTAAACCTCTGAAGAAGCAAAGTACTTTGACGTTGAGTAACGATCTAAGAACTGGCTAGCCGCGGATAGGCAGGCGGTCATCCGTCTATTCGGTAAAAATTTCGTCGTAAGTTTGTGTGTTTGTGGTTGACCAACGAATTCCGTTTTCTTCTTCGGGCCCCCGCGCCGTATCTACTACAGTCCGCCCATGGGAGAGTAACCAGCTATTGGTTTGGTATGTGGTGCGGTCCCGACCCCGGCCCCGCTCCGTGTCTTGTATTCCCCTCCGTCCCGAAGCGTTCGTTGACTGAAACAAATTGTTTTACCTCGGTTCGGATATACACTATACGGAGCATGTACGTACTAATCCCAGATACCACAAAAGATCGTGTTTCAGGTCGCACACAACCACCAATTTGAAGACTGTCGAGAGGACTAGATCGGGACTTGGTCATGCAAGAGCCACGTTGAGCTGCATGGGAGGCGCAGTGGTGGAATGCCGCCAGGTGGTCACGGGAGAGCGACCTTTCTTTTACATTGGCTAACCACTTACATAGATTCTTTCCCCTGGTGTAACAAACCCGATTGTCATCTCTTCAACAACGGTTTGGCGTTTTCATTCTATGCTCCGTTGGTAGAGTTAGGCTTTTGACCGTAGGGCTGCCCAGATGTTCACGAGATCGTCGTGTAAGGCTGCTAATTCTCGAAATCGTCAGCTCATACACATCCTTCTCTTTCACGTGTCAACAGTTTGAACCGACCATATGTTCTTGACATTGCAGTCTGGTATTCAAGATATTAAAACGCTCACTCATTACACCAAAGATGGAAGGAAATGACATAACCAGTCGTCAAAGCAAAAGAGAAGCCCAGCCTCGTAACGCTCATGACTGTCGTTGTACCACTCAGACCGGATCCAGCCAGTCATCTCCCCTCATCCCAAGCGTCGTTTTGAGAAAGTCGCAAAGAATTAACTCCCGAATTTGCGTCTGCCCCCACCAGTCTCTTCCCCCCCTCTCTTCCTAGACTGCCCCAACATCAATCAAAACTTTTGACCAAACTTTCGCGTAGATGCCTCCCTCCCTTGTAATAAGAACCCTCGCCATCCCGCAAATTGTCCCTCCCTTCTCCTAGAAGAGAGACACCTTAAATTGCTGATCAAAATGCCATGAAATCAGATATCCCTCCTCCTTGTAGATTACCACCCAGTGAAAAACCAAAATAGAACAAAAAAGGGTATTAAGTAGTGGCAACTGAAATATGAAAACGAAACCAAAGCCCAAAACAAGCAGATCATAGGCATTTGGTGTCCGCCCTGTTGTGAGACAACCAAAGAATGTCGGGTAAGCCTGTCATCTGACAGATGGAGATCCCTTCTGGTCCCAGTCGAATTCCATCCCCCAACAAATCATTGTCGTAGATATGATGCCACCAGTAGTGTTGGTAGGGAGAAGCAAATCAACCCAGAACCAAGGGACTCGACCGCCAACTTGCGGTCAAGAGTCAACCCAGATCCCTAGCGAGTCAACGAGCCCCAGCATCCTCCAAACTTCCATGCATCATTTCCTCGTATCGACCATGTTGATGATTGGGACGGTGATGACCGAGACTCCAGAGTTATTGAAATCCCACAATCTGACAGACGGCTTTGCTCCGGACGGGTAGAACAAGCAGATTGCCACAGCGCCGCTTTTGTTCAACCCAACTGAACCATCCGTTGGATTCCCCCACGCTCGTCGTAGCCTTGGCTGTCGTAAACGCCTTCGAAATCGATGATGGTTGGTGTGAGCGATTGCTGCTACTCTGAAGCAGGGCGAACACCTAGGTGCAGGGCCGTAGGGTGGTTGTTGTTGTTGTTGTACAAAACAAATCTGACAAAAGAAACGCCGTCGGGGCTAGATATATGGGGTGACACACAAAACGCCGTAGTAAATCAAATTAGGACGTGCAAAAAGGCCATCTCAATCATGCCGATCCAGCAGCAAGGTATTGGACGACTCTCACAATCACCAGATGCTACCCCGGCTAGTTGCCGATGATGGCGATCTCGTGCTGGTGAGGCGGCTCAAAGCCAGTTCAGCGGCATCCTCTTTGGCATTTTCGAGGTTCTTGCCGTCGAACCAAAACCTGGCTTGGATAAGCTCTCCGCCTACTTCCACACGGCAAGACCAAGCAGTACGGCCGCCTAAACCAGAATATTAGCTTTTGACATTTCCTAAGCACATAAACGTATTCATTGCTTACCTCTCCGGTCCGAAACAACGTGATATACCGGGAGAGGCATCTGGTAGCTCTGGCACGCGTCTAGTTGGATGATTAGTCAATGGCACAAATAAATAACACATATCAAGATGCACCATACCCGCCAGCTTGTTTTGCCACTGGTTGGTGTTATAAGACATTATGCTGATATTTGGGTGGAGACGTAAGAAATTGTACAAGCTGTGTGCGGGTGTTTGGCTGGAGTGTGTTGATGTATATCGAGAGGGCGGGAAACGAAAGTCGAGGTCGAAAGGCCGAGATTGCAAAGTGTGTGAGGATGAATTACGAGCCGTGGATGATTGTGTGCTCCGTTGAGTGAAGGGATGGCTTAAGGATAGTATAGATGAAAATGGAAAAGAGCGGTTCATGCTTTATTATACAATCCGTCTACCCTGAGGACCAGTAGCGCTTGTACCGTTGAAACGAGAAGGGACTGATGTGGCGGAAGTGGATTCGAGACGTCGTTGCTTGTTTTTCCCATACACCCCTGGACTTGCTGTTCCGCGTTGATTTCACGGAATATCTTCGATTGTTTGTTCGCAAATATGCAGGAGCATCAGAATTACCACTGGCAATCCACGGGCTAGTGCATCATAAGTACATCAGGGAAATTGTTCCTCAAGCGGACGGTGATCTAGGCAAGGCAAGGACAAAGTACCCCGGACAAAACGCGGAACGGAGGAAACAGAAACAAACGTAGCTACCACGGACGATGGTCGGGGATATCCATCCTTCGTCAAAACGACGGCTAATCGGTGGATGCTAATTTGCTCACTTGAGCCGTTACGGTCCTCGTCAAAGGAATGGTAGACCTAGACTGTTACCCGGCCTTTCACCTTTCCATTCCGTTTCCTGTTGCTCATCGAGGTACTCCGTACGCCGGATACCATCGTACCGCCTCGTGACTGTAACACTCGGGAGGAAATCATTGGAAGTGGAGTGTGCCATGACACTTGACGACAAAGTCATGTTGCACCCGTACAGACCACGGCATGCTCCGACCTTGTGTGTGCTGCACGTACTCAGCCTTGGTAAACACAGACAGATCGCTGCCGCCGGAGCGCAGTGGCGGTCATCGTGGACGCACGGTAGACGGTGCCAGACCTCCACGTTGGATGCCATGGGGCATTCGTCCTAGGCTGGTCCATGACAGTAGCCAGCCAAGATGCGCCAGAGAAAGCGAACGAGAGAAACCAAAACGGCGGACAAGCCAAAGTGACGCAGTGAGATACCGATGAGACAAGAACAGTTATCCACTTTACGCAGGGTCCTCAGATGTCCGCCAACACTGAACCATCGCGACCGATGCCTCTGGCCCATTGGACGCGAGGAATCAAAACAACAAGTTTACCGTGAGTCGTCCCAACACAATTAGACGGTGAAGTCGGTGGGTAGACTTTCCGAAGGTCTTCCCTGCACTTGGTGGTCGTGGATCAGCCTGTTGGAGGAGCATGTGTAGGTGCCAAGACCACCGAGACTGACCTCTGAGTTGTCAGTGCCCCTACCTATCCATCAGCCAGGGCAGAAGTGGGTAGATCCGCCCCTCCACATGGTGGGGGATGATGTTTTTCTTTTTGTTGCGAAACGCAACTAAATTGAGAGACACGGGATTGGACCAGAGGCAGCGAGAACGATTCTTATGTTTCAGATCCCAATTCGAAAGTGTCTGTCTGGACGGTCGTCCACTGCCTGTTCCTTTCGACAGTCAGGCGACAAGCTTTCCCTTTTGAGCTAATGACCATAACCTTGGATCAGGGTCGGCGAGACCGGACGTAGTGTATCCCGAACGATCGATGTCCACATTCGTTGCAACTCTTAGCGGCCGGCCGGATCGGAGTTTGCGTTTACGGGACCCAGACTGCTGGGCCAAGCTGGTCACCAATCTCAACCACGATGGAGGTGCATCAGCTATCGGGTGCAGAAGCAAGCAGAAAAACGTACCACATACCATTATCGCTGGTCTGCGATACAGAGGAGGGCTCAAAAAAAGAACCTCATAGCACAGAGAGTACTATTTGATTCGAGACGGATCCGCCGACGGTGTTTGTTACCGGCCCCTCGGGAGGACTCAATCGGCAGTGGCCATCCAGAGCGCCGAGCCACCTAGGTAGCATGCAATGCATGTTGCGCAGCGAGTAATGACATTGGGTGTTTTCATCATCAAGCTCGAAATATAATGACGCCTTGAGCCGGCTAGTGCACCTTGGACGATGCAAACCCACATCGTCAGATTTTCGGGGTTGGCTGTCAGTCAAGTGCAATGTTGTAGCGAACAATCTGCTTATAACGTGCAACGTGCGAGAAAACGGGTTGTTGTTTCATCACAGCAAAGACTGATATCCTTGAGCCGTGACACAAAAGACAAGGCATCATCATATCATGTTAGCGTCATAGGAGTCAAGATGTCCCCGGGATTGGCCGCATGCCTTTCTTGCCATCATACTCTTCTCATAGCCAGGTTTGTGACAGAAAGTTACCGTTGGCGAGAAGCCAACTTGGATCCTCCATAAGCGAGTACAGCCCGGTCTAAGGCGTAAATGTATCGAATGGGCGTTATTCCATTTCAGCCGGTTGTCACGCCTGTGTTAACTCTACACTAGCTCTGGGGAATCGTGGCGTTATGACGCATCTTACTGTAGGGTAGGACTGGAGAAGGGCCCACTCCAGATAGGGCAATGGACCAAAGTTGATTGATCCGCAGTTTGTAGGAATCGACCTGACACGCGGCTCGCTGGTAGCTGCTGGTAGACTAGAGTGGTGTGTCACGCGCGTCAGGAACCTTGAGGGACAGAATCCAAAAAGGAAATAACCAGCAGAGCCGCTTCCAGGATGAGAACGGGATGAGGGCCGTAAGGTCGAGTCCGGAGGCCAGAGCTGTCTGGATTTGGTCGGCCGAACTCGATCGTATGCCCCCTCTGAAAACGACGAATTAGCCGCCTGACCAATGGTGAGCGGGAAATCGGCTTCGTTCGTGCCACCGCGTCAATGTGCGTACCACGCCGACTGGGCATGAACGGCGCCGGGGGGGTAAGAGTGGTACAGTCGGTTAATCAATGCGGAAGCGCACAACCGTCGGCATATGCTTGGTATCACTATGGGGTAAGTGAGTGTTTCAGAAGAACCGTGACAGCTTTGACATGGTGGTTTATCCAATCCCGATGGATATTGGGCCGAGTGGGCAACCGTGTCGCTTGAGGAGCGGTGGCCGATTTTGGAGTCGGAGAATATCTGAAACAAGCAGCTTGTATGGCCTGGGCCCCCAAGGAGCCTTGTGAAAGGCGATTTGCCGGAAGAATGGCGATGGAGCTTTTCAACCGTAGCGGAGGATGGGCGCAACTCGTGGCGCTCTTCCGTGTCATGTCGTCGTTGGGTCAGGAACGACAGCCAGACCTTGGTGGGCGTATGTCGTCGATTTGATGCCGCAGTCAGATCCCGGAGCGTTGGGCTTTCATGCGTCGGCGAAGAACTGTCTGGGAACCCGCAGGCCCGGGAAGACTGATGGATTCTTGCAACGGCCTTGCTGCCCCGTCGGGACAGGGCATTCTGGCCAACTTGGGAGTTGCCATGCAGACTAAAACAAGAAGCCGTGAGTTTGCCTCGGTGACGGATACGCCGGTGGCCGTGCTGCCACAGAGGGCGGAAACTGTGTCGTGATGCGCACGGCAGGATAAGTTGGAGAGGCCGCATCGTTGTATGGAACGGCGTGCCAGGGGCGAAGGTGGTGGGCTGCAGACGGCGCGGCTTGCTATTGCACAGTCGACTTATTTGTCCAGTCGCGTTCATGGAAGAGAATGATTGCGTTCATTCACGTTATATTGCCGTCCAGCTTTCAAGATTGTGAAGTGTAGGCGTACAAGACGGGCCGGCCTGGAACGATCTGGAGTCCTAACATGGTTGGCATCATGTCGGCGGCCATCCACGTTGTCCTTGCACAACAGGAGGAAAGGCGCTCCAAGAGTAACAGTGATGTAGCGCCATTGGTTCCCAAGCCACGGGAAATCGAGCGGCGGTGGCTTTTCCAGCGATTCATCCTACTCGAGTCGATCTTGTACTGGTGATGTGAAGAGTCTTGATCGCAGTTGGTGGGCATGGGTCGAGGTAGGTAGCCAAGCGAGGCAAGACAAGTTGGACAGAACTTCAAATAAGCAGAATCGTAGAAAGTTCCGGCCTCAGTCTGGCTGGTCAAGGGAACGGAGAATCAATGTCCCGATTTGTTTGTGTGGTGAACGGAAGTGGAAGTGGAAAACGCCTAGGTTGACGATAAATCTCCGTCGTTGTCGAGTTCCCTTCAGTTGTGCGGGAGAAATAAATCTCGAGACGCATCGATGCATTAGGGCACACGCTGGAGTTTCCTTGCCATATAGAGAAGGCTCGGCTTCAGGTGTACCTGCCTAACTTACCATGATAGGGCCAACGTTACAGGTAGTTTTGCAACCCATCTTCGTTGCCGCTTGGCGGTGGTTGAGCAGCCTCGTGAAGAAGGCACGACTCGGGTACGCAGTCCAACGATTGAAAGAGAAGGATCTCGGATGACGGGAGTTTCAGCACATCACTTAGACAACTTGAATGCTCCAGGGATGTAAATTACCCAACACCCGTACGAATAATACTACTCCGCTGAGACTTACAGTACCTAGGTAAGCTAGTATTGTAGCTGGCTGTTGTACCCCGCATATACAACCGAGGTATGGGTAAGGAACAGTAATCGTACAACTCGATACAAACCAGTAATCAACATTTGAGACGTCGAGTTGCCTCGGCATCATTAATGTTGCATTACCTATTGGGCGGCTTTTACTCACCTGACTAGGGACGGTCCGCCATTTCAATAGTCGGAGTTTCCATCTTGTCGCTGATCTTTCTTGACCGTGGTTGAGTTTGTTTCTGCTTCTTCCCTTTTCCCCATCCTCTTTCTGAAGCGTACTTACCGTTGTTGCTTCACCGATACCGCACACAATCAAGATGCCGCTGCAGACTGAACTTACCCGCCGACTCGGCATCACAGGTACGTACTGCTACAGTACACACTCGTTCCCCTTCCAGTCCACATGAGAACCTCAATGGCCAATCGGTCAAACATTCACACTGTCAATCCTCACCTCGATCTCCCACGTTTCATGTTGTTATTCATAACCATACCTTTCGGGACACGACGATTCGATTCTGTCCTTGGGCTGACATGCTTTGTTCCAACTCGCAACAGTGCCCGTCATTCAGGGTGGCATGCAGGTAAGTTCGTTGTTCTTGTCTTTGCTTTTTTTTTTCTTCTTCCCTCCCTCCCTACTGCTGAGGCACACAAAAGACGGGAGCTAACGTGTCAACAGCATGTAGGAACAGCCGAGCTGGCCAGTGCCGTGTCCAATGCCGGCGGCCTGGGTATCATTACTGCCTTGATCTTTCCTGAGCCGGAGGGTCTCCGTCAGGAGATTCGCAAGTGCAAGAAGCTGACGACGAGGCCATTCGCCGTCAACATCACTCTTCTGCCTGCCCTTGTCCCCCCTGACTATGAGGCTTACGCCCAGGTTGTCATTGATGAGGGTATCAAGATCGTGGAGACTGCTGGCAACTCTCCTGGTCCCGTCATCAGCAAGCTCAAGAAGGCTGGCGTCACTATCCTCCACAAGTGCACCACCATTAGACATGCTCAGTCTGCGGTGAAGCTCGGCGTCGATTTCTTGAGCATCGACGGTTTCGAATGTGCCGGGTAGGTCAAGCCATATACCTCATTGCTCCCCTGTTGACCAGTCTTGCTTATGCCACATATCACAGCCACGTCGGTGAGTCGGACATTACCAACTTCATCCTCCTCAGCAAGGCCCGCCAGACACTCAATGTACCCTTCATCGCCTCGGGTGGCTTCGCCGACGGCCAAGGCCTCGCTGCTGCGCTCATGCTCGGCGCCTGCGGTGTCAACATGGGCACTCGCTTCCTCTGCACCGTCGAAGCCCCCATTCACCACAACATCAAGGAGGCGATTGTCAAGGCGCAGGAGACAGACACGGCGCTTGTCCTCAGGCGCTGGCGCAACACCACCCGTCTCTTCAAGAACAAGGTAGTGCGGGATGCCCTCAAGGTGGAGAAGGAGAGCAAGACGGGCGAGTTCTCCGAGATTGCCCCGTACGTCAGTGGAAAGCGCGGCAAAGAGGTCTTCATCAACGGTGACCCCGAGTATGGTGTCTGGACTGCGGGTCAGGTTATGGGTCTCATCAATGACATCCCGACCTGCAAGGATCTCATTGCGCGCATCGAGAAAGAGGCCGAGGAGACAATCAAGGAGAAGGTCAAGCTTTTTGCCGCGCCGTCGAAACTATAGAGCCGGTCATAATTGAGTTTCGACTTGCTGTGCATGCTTGGATTTTGTCGGTGTTTGGGGCAAATGTATTCTTTTGGTTTCCTATTTTCATCCTCAATTTCTTTTTCCTCTCTCCTTGTATGTACTGTGCAGGTAATTTTGAGGAGTGGGGACTGGTGTTTCGATACATACAAATCCCAAAGCAGTCGCCTGCTGGGGCCAGCGCATCAAACTCAGTAAAGCCATGGATTCATATGACATTCGTGAATGACCTTTTTTTTTTTTTTTTTTTGGCTTCAGATCACCTTTCAAAACTGAACTAAACTCATTGACCTTCCAGATTACGGCTCTACGTAACGAAAATTGCAAGACGACGTTGACGGCATAACACAACAACAACAACCCTAACCCGAAGGTCATTCCTCGCGCTAAAACCCCGCCCTTGGGCACGCGATGGAGCGTTCCCGATTTGACTCCAATGGATGGCGGCACTTCATTCCTGAACAGGCCAACCCTTGCATGACTCCACGGCTGGCACGCAATTGCCAAGCCGTTTGGAGAGCCGATGGGTCCTCCCCCGAGTCAAAGGCGGAGAGGAAGCTAGAGAGACCTCGGCATGTGCTCGCTTGGGCAAAGTCGCAGCCGAAACAGTCCAAAGCTGGCATCCAAGAAGAAGTGACCAGAAAGAGTGAGTGATCAGCTATTCTGTTTGAATTTCAAAGTCAAAGTGCGACTTGCGCTGTTCGTGAACCTGTTTGCCAACTGAATTCGTGATCAATTACCGTGATACGAACCTGAAAGGTCAACCTAACCCAAACCCCCCTCTGAAAGCTCAAGTAACTTGGAGAAAGTCTGACCGCCAGCTCAGCTCATCTAACTTCAGCTACCTATAACCTGACGGACTTGTACCTGAATAACAACAACCCGCCGCGACATCCGACCCTCTTCCGATCCGGAACATTAAACTTTCAACCCAACCTCAACAACAACGAATAACTTTGAAGAAGGAAAAAAATGGTCGCCGACGCCCTCGTCTACCACCCCGCGGTCTCGCACTACCTCAAATTCGTCGCCACCACCGTCGGCCGCGACAAGCTCCTGCGTCTCTTGCAGTACTTTGCCCGCTTCTACGCCTGGTACCTGCTTCGCACCAACAAGCCCGCCTCGGCGATCCAGCCATGGGAGACGATGAAGAAGCAGTTTGGCCTGGTGCGCAAGGTCATGCGCGCGGGCAAGAACGTCGAGCACATCAAGGCCGCGGCGGTGGCGGCCGACAGCAAGAACGGCGACCCGATTCTGCGGTACCTGGCGGTCGGCCGCCAGCTCGGTTATGCGGGTTATTTGACGTTTGATTTGGGTACCTTGCTGGATGCGACGGGGATTCGCAAGACTGAGAGCGCGAAGAGGCTGGCGAGGGAAAGCCAGAGGTTCTGGGTTATGGGATTGAGCTGCAGTGTGATTGCGCAGGCGTACACGCTGTGGAGGTTGAGGCAGAGGGAGGCGCGGGTTGATCGCAAGGAGGGCGAGGGTGTGGTGGAGGCCAAGAGGATTGAGGTGTAAGTGCTCCCCCCTTGCTCCCCTACGTTTTTGTTACTTGAGATGATGCGGCGCCTGAGAGACACGATGTTAACAATACTTTGCCAATGTTATAGCGAGCGCGCCGCCAGCCGCATCCAGCTCACTTCGGACCTTTGCGACTTGACTGTTCCCTTGTCGGCCCTTGCCTGGGTCAACTTCGATGATGGCATCGTCGGTCTTGCTGGTACTCTCAGCTCTCTACTCGGCATTTACACCCAGTGGAAGAAGACTGCTTAGAGGGCAGGTTCTAGTTGATGGTGAAGAAGAGTCACTACTACGCATGAGGAGGAGAAAAATGGGGTCTTGTGATGGATATATCTTTTGGGTGGTTTACTGGGACAACAGCACGCGTAATTTGTTTGACTCGTTTCCCTTTCTATCGGTGTTATGTTTGTGGATAATGTGGCAGCTTTCACGAACAGATTTATTCTATTGTTGTTGTTGATGCCTTTCACCATTGGTCAATTTCGGTGTCGTTGATGAAGCCGTTCTTTTCCTGTCGTATGCCTCGCGCTACAGGCCTTTGATTCCTTGTGATTAGGTACTTCGTAACCTAGTGGTTGATGGCCCTAAACTGGTGAGTTTCCAGACGAGCGAGGGCACGACTCTATGACCCTGACATGTGAGTCTGACTGGGAATGAATGATGCGTGATCAATGTGTGGATCATCACCCATCCCATGGTTCAGTTTCATATCTCCGGCCCGAGGACTTGGGGTTCCGAACCCCGGAGGAGCGGATCGAGGCGCTCCCCCACCCGCCTTATCCCGGTCTGTAGGCCGTGGGCCGCTCCAAATTCCCCGCATGCATCCGGATGGGATGGCTGTTCATCCGTTCTTGTGCCTCCGCAGTCTGCAGTGTGCCCTACCATAATCGGATGGCGTTTGTTACTTAGCATGTTGATGTCCTGCTCCCCTCGGAGCATGCAGCATTGTTTCAAAGTATGAGGCGAATTTGATTTTTCTACAGAGCGCCAATCTTTGCACCATCAACGCCTCCCAAGAATCCCATACGATGCATCGTTCGACCTCCAGCTTACCACGGTCCCTTGTCATTCGACTCATGCATGGACATCTTGCCGCAACATTGATAAGGATCCTGCACGGAATGCCCGATCACCCTCTGAGATTTGTGTCACAGATTGAATCTACCATCTTGCGAGAGGAAGCTAGTAGAGCATGAACCACTCAATATTCACCCCAGTCGATGTTTTGCAGGTCAGAAGATCCGGAGAACCAAAGTCATGACGTCTCGCGGCCGGGATCGGATTAAATTGGGGATAGCGTCGTTTTATCCGCACGTTATCAACCTTCTTCAATCTTGACTCTCAAACGTGTTGTCCGCACGGAGCAAGACATGTTCTACCCCATGAAACACCATGGTCCTGCTCAGAAATCCTTGAAATACGACCACATGGAACAGTCTGAAGCACAGGTTCTTGAACATGGGCATCTCTCATATTAAAATGAAAAGAGAAAAAAAAATCAATTGTTGAACAAAATTGAAGGAATCTCCATGAGCGGGCATCTGGAAAGTGCGGGGCTCTATCATGCCTTCCAGTTTTTGGACAGCTTTGGATGAGATCAACATAATTGGGCACCACTAACAGCCCCAGGTAGTTCATCCATTGCTCCTGTTGAAGGTTTTGCCCCTCGCGTTCAACTTGACACGTGCTTGACTTTTTATTCCTAATGAACTATCACTTCTCCCTCCTCAACCTCCTCCCGGCCAGCCCCTCATCCGCGGTGTTGACCATCGCGAGATCACTGTGCGGGCGGAGATCTGCAGGTACAGTTGCAATCGCCTTGATACAGGGAACGAAGCACATTCGCTGCCCTGTGATTGACGGAGCTCCATCCGGCGCGGCGTTTGAGAACTGAATAGCAACCCCACCCGATTTCCCATCGCAGAGTCCAGACAAAGCGCTTCCCCTGGCAATGAGGTAAACAATCGCGAACCACGGCAGTGGACCAGGATCCGAGGCAAGGATACGGAGGAGCTTCAAGCTATCCTGTTATGGCAATCGAGACAGATTGGGGGCTGTGGTCACACAATCGATCTTGCTTTTGCTGTTGGACCACATAAACTGACAATTCCCATCGATGTCTACTAGGTCCATCATCACACTGCATTGAGAGAGACCTTGCTCAAAATCCCATACCCAATTGACCGGTAATTCAACTCGTGTGAGCTTCGTTTGTCCCCAAGAGAACTAGAGACACCTTGGTGCAGTTGCGATACAACACTGTGTGTCATTGCCAGGGAATATCTCAACTGTAACTCTCGCTTCTACCCCGCCGTCACATAGATAAACAGTCTTGCGCCCAGTTCCTAGCCACCAACCTACAACAACAAAGAGAAGACTCCAAGAAACTAAATCACAAAATTAGTTGATTCCCAATACTAGAGAAGACACCTATTGGACAACCACGGCTCTTTCTCTCCAACAATTCATCCAAATCACCAACAATGGCTGCTTCAACTGCTGCCGGGGAGCTGGGGCTCTCCATCACGGGCTTGGGAGTCCAGTATCCTCCATACAGCCTTGGTCCAGACGCTATCGACATTCTCAGCAAGAGATACCACCCAGAGTCCCCAGCGTAAGCTATCTTGGTCTTTTCTTGCTTCGTGCTTGTCAAATAGGTACTGATTTCGCTCTGCAACAGCATGAAGAAGGTCCTCGCCATCAACCGATACACGGGCATTGATCATCGCTCCTCGATAGGTAACCCTGACCACCCGCTCGTGAACAAAGCCAACCCACCTACCGTCAATGAACTTCATGAGGTCTTCATGTCCGATGGCGTTCCTCTCGCTGTAGAAGCCTCGCGAAAGGCTATGGCCGAAGCGCGGGTAGTGCCGGCTCAGATCACACACATGGTCTCGACGACATGCACCGACTCGGCCAACCCGGGCTACGACCACTTCGTCGCAAAAGAGCTCGGTCTCAGTGACCGCCTGGAGAAGGTCCTCCTCCACGGTATCGGCTGCAGTGGTGGTCTCGCCGCCCTTCGCACAGCGGCGAGTCTTTGCCTAGGCCACACAGCGCGCGGTAAGCCAGCCCGGATTCTGGTCCTCGCGCTTGAAGTCTCCACGACCATGGTCCGCAGCGAGCTAGAAAGCATCAACGCATTGCAAGAAACTCGCATTGGCATCGCCTTGTTCAGCGACTGCGCTAGCGCCGTGATCCTGTCCAACGGCATCGGCGAGGCACCGGGCAAGCCCGCGATCTACGACCTCTTGGGTTGGGAAAACCGCGTGATCCCGGACTCCGAACACGACCTCGGCTTCGACGTCGACCCAATGGGGTGGAAAGTCGTCTTGTCTCCCCGAGTCCCAGTACTAGCCAAAGCCTCCCTCCAACCAACCTACGCCGACCTCCTATCCTCTCTCAAAGACCAACTCCCTTCGTCCTACCAGAAACCTGCCGATTTCGACTGGGCAATGCACCCCGGCGGCGCCACCATCCTGTCCGGCGCCGAAAGCGCCATGGGTCTGACACCAGAGCACATGCGCGCCTCTTACGACAGATATATCAACCACGGCAACTCGAGCTCCGCAACCATCTTCAGCGTTCTCAACCGGCTCAGGGAAAAGGACATGGATGCTCTGGCCCCCGGCGGCAAAGTAAAGGAGTATGTCGTCGGTTGCGCGTTTGGACCAGGGATCAACGTTGAGATGTGTATGTTGAAGCGGAGAATGAACGCCCCAGCAAGGACGACGACGGGTTTGGATACCCCGCCGGAGACGGATGATAGCGAGGGGCCGGGGCCGGGGTCGAGTGCGGGAAGCGACGATGGGGAGTCGATAGAGGGGGGCGAGAAGGAGGAGAAGTTTATTAGCGAGGCGTTGGACAACGTTGAACTGGACTGAGATGGATGGATCACACGATGGGGGGGTATGAACGGTTTTCGTTTGTTTTTAGCAAGCAGGCTATGTCAGTAAGCAGGCGGGTGTTTAGAACTGGGTCGTCTTGATGTAGTTCTTTCTTTCTTCTTCTTCGATACCTTGATGGTTTCAGAGGTTATGGTCGGGCCGGCATTGCTCTTTCATATTCGTAGCAACCCGGTTTTTCTTTCGGCCTTCGCCCTTCTTCTTCTTCTTCTTTTTTGTACGTCGACTTTTACCAGCAAAAAGAGAAAGTAGAAGAACTTGAGAAAGGGTTCAAAGGAAGACGAACGTAGTTCAATTGAAGTGTGGTTATGTAGGACGTAACGAAATGTTATAACCCAATTGGGGAGTGCAGTGGTGGTGGTAGTGATCCAGCAAATGAGGGCTGACTTACTTTCCAATAAACATACGAGATGGTGTCATGGTGATCAATGTGGCCCGTTGCTCGGACTTCGAGTCCTCTCGGATATATATATATATATATACGCATCCTGGGTAGGTAGGTATATAATCTAGAGCCATACACATGATTTGTCACTACTATGTACACCACTTTACTTGCTCCCCCCTTTCGGTCGAAAGCTTGTTCAATGGACGTTGTGGTTGGGTTGTCAATTATTTGTTTGTCTGAGCATGCGCAGAGAACTAACAGGACGATTGTCTTTGTCCCGATAGAGTAAGTACACAGTCTATATGCGGCACAGCTTGATGATGTGCCTGTCTGTCGGCACTCTGTACTACCTAGTTATGTATGTCCGTGAAGTAGATGTTAATCATTGCTTTCTTGAGGTCTTGATTCATATGAGAAACCAAAGAAGGGGGAAAAAAAACCACTTGATAGGAAGTAGTAATCAGTCAATTTCGCTTCAAGTGAATGAATGAATTATCAGCTGCTTAATACTTTTCAGTCTTAAATAAGACTCTTGACAAAAACCGTCTGAACGCCAAACCTAACAACATCCCATTCCATCCCATTGCATCCCATCTCGTCAACCGCAGATCCTCAAGCTCTCCTGTACTATTCATTCCCATAACCGCATCCCTAAATGACCTGGACCTCCTTAACTCAAATCAAACCCAGCCCCACTCTTCACCGCATACAGCAGTTTCTCCTTCAGTCTCCCCTTACTCCGATACTGCGGCAACTTGAGCAAATTCACACACGTACTCGCACTCGGCAACCGGTCCTCATCCTGCCCGGCATCCCTGATCGTGAAATAGGGCCTCAACTGACCAAACCCCAACAGCGGCGCTCTCGGCGTTGACGTCACATATTTCAGGACCTCCCTCCTCTCTTCGTCCTTCAGCTCATGCATCACCTCCCAGAAGATCTGAATGGTCGGATGTTCCTCCCCGTCGAGGCCGATCTGGTACACCCCGTTGTAGTGCGTGTTGCGACGGAGATCTTCGACGTCGATTTCGGAGCTGTCGCCGCCGACGAGGCGTTGGAGCTCAAGTTGGTTGAACATGGAGAGCCAGCTGGGGTCGATGACGGAGCCCAGACCGCGCAGAAAAGCGCGCGTTTGCGGGTAGGGTTGGCGGACGAGGCGGTGGCGGGCTACGTAGGAGATGTAGAGGGGGCGGTTCTCGTTGGTGACGGGCGTGGAGTCGCCGTGGGGGATGAGCGGGCGGATGATGGTGCGGGTGGGTTCGCCGGGGGAGTTGATGGGGTCAGTAATGGTGAAATCGAGAGCTAGGTCGGTTTGCACGTCGCCCGTGTAGTTTTTGAGGCTGAGCATGCCTTGGTAGAGCTCCTCGTCGAGTTCGCGCAGGTCGTTGATGTTGGCGCGGTAGCCGGCGGTGGTGGAGGAGGATGATGCTAGGGAGTTGCTACCGCCGCCTGGGGTGTCGTTGGCGGTGGCCCATTTCAGGAGGAAGAAGCCGGCGAAGACGATGTCAATCAGGATCCCCTCGTACATACATTTGCCGATGATTCGCCCCAGGAATTCGTACTTTTTGAGCACCTGTTCTACAGCACGCTGTGTTTCTTCCGGTTCTCCTACCCGCATGTTTCTGATCCGATCGATGAGGGTGGGATTTGGGTAGTAGGCGTTCTTGCTGTTCGTTACAAAGAGTTCGGTGTGAGTGAACGCCTCTGTAGTCACGCTGTCGAGGAACTCTTTGGTGACGCCGCCGCCATCGATACCCGCCTCCTGCATTCCAAATTCGTCCTCAAACGTAACCTGGATCGGCTCTTTGAGTCCTTCGCCTAACTCCCACAGCTGTTTCATAGCATCCTCAAAAACTCGACCTCTTCGGATCCGAGCCGTGTGTTTACCCAGGGGGTGCTGGGCACCAAAGCCATTGCGTAGCATATGAGCTCTCCACATGTCTGGGTCGCCGTCTCCTCCACGTCTGCGCTGCTTGTCCAATTGGATGAACTGTCGGAAGATCTGAACGCGCGTCTCAAATGGGATAGCAAAAGGCATGTTGCGCAGAATCTCAAGCTTCGGGGTGATCGCAGACAGTAAGTGGTTGCGGGCGGCCTTCCTATTCTTCTGTCTGAGCCTCTCAAGATGTGCGTAGTGAGACCATTCCTGTTGATCATCCTCGGAGCTGTCGGCACCATCTTCGGTATTCCTCAGCTCGTGTTGTCTCTGCTCTTCAAGAACCACAGCCGCAAGGAAACCCTCCATGTCGAACTTGGATGTCATCAGCCAGTGGCCTTCGGGCAAAAATGGTCGTCTCGAGTCCCGTTCGTAAAGCATCTTCATGGCTGTCGTCGCTAAGTCTCTGAGCGTAGTGAAATCAACTCCGGCAGGAGGAAGGAAGCTATCATTTTTGGAAGCTTGACCGCCATCGCCTCTAGGGCGATTCGAGTTGGGCGTCTCGGCCCAAGGGCTGTTTGTCAGTAGCTCCTTAGCATTGTAGTACATTGTGAAACTGAGGTGCTTGAGAAACTGCGTCAAGCGCTTCAGTTCGCTCAGCGACATTCCCGCCAGACGTAGTCGAGAGGAAGGGCCGCCGAAGTTAGGATGGGGGTTTAAAGTGCTGAAGAAATCATCGTCGTCCATGAGCCGCAAAACGAAGATGTACGATTCAAGGAAGAGAAGAACAGTTTTCCATTCTCGTTGCCACACCGCTTCGGCAGCTGGTGATGACGGCTTGCGTCGAAGAAAATCTAGCGTAGAGTCTTGGCTGGACGCAATCTCTGAGAACACAGACGTCTTCTGTGTAGCATTCCAGAAGTACTTGGCCGTTGGAATACGGCCTTGGGCAGTTGAAATGTCAGCCACATAGAGGAACATGCGAATGTCCTCACTAAAAGCAGGGAAGCAGTTGATCAAAGTCAGGATGAAACCAGCGAGGTAACTGGCGTCGTCATCCGCTGAAGTAGAGGTCTCCCCGGTAGTTCTAAGGTTGTTAGCGCTTGCAATGAGCAGCAGGCGAAGGAACACTTACGCGGTAAAAGCGCTTAGAAGGTCTTGAATGGCGCCTTTATCAACTAGCGACTGAAGCTGTTGTCGCACAAAGGGATGCAGAACGTCAGATCCATCTTGCTCGGCTTCCGCAAAGTAACTCGTGTCCTTTGGTCGAGCAACGGCAAAACCCGCCCTTATCTGGGCTGAGCACAGAGGGAAGAGTGATTCTAGGGTCTTGATGAAAAGAAGCCTTGAGCTTCGTTGTTCCTTCGCCCCATTGATCGCAATGTAGTGTGCGATAAGCCAGAGGACAGCGTTCGGGTCATGCTTTGGAAGCTTATGCGAGAGGTCAATGATATAATTTGACAGCCGATCTAGGTCTATGTTGGCGGCTAGTCTCGTAATAAGGTCCGAGCATCGCGCCGGGCCGGGCTGTGTCAGAAAAGAAACGACCAAGTCTTGGTAGGCTGTATGTTTGACGGAGTCTACATAAAAACGGACGGCCACAGTTAGTCAAAGAAGCTTTCTTGTACGATGGGGAGAATCCCAACAAATGGTACACACCTAAATCGTGGGGTACATCAAGCGGTGCAACCACCAGACTGCAAATGAGCTCTTGGATAGAGGCGGGCAAACCAGTGTCCTGGCATAACCTTCCAAGTACCTTGTACCACTCTCCCAGAACTTGTCCAAACGTCTTGAAGTCCGACGTCTTGGTCCCGATCGCACCAAGGGCCCGTAGGAAAAGAGCCACCTGAGTCTGCTCGTTTCCGAGATCGCACCTATCGAGAAGCCATCTCTACATTAGCATGATGAACAGTTGTGGAATAATGACTTGGGACCCAAAACCACGAACTGCTCACCTTGTCAGAGCAGCAAGTAAAACCCGCCTTAGTTTACCCAGCCTTTCCCATCCCAACACTCCCGAGCTAAAGGTAAAGAAGTCTGTCTGGAGAAGATCTTCGGTGACCAAAGCTAGCCTGTGACGGTCTTGTACATTAAAAGCTTGGAAGGCGGCAAACACCAACGGCAATGCCTCTGCTGACCTCTGCCCAGCATCAACGGGTTGCGCTTCGTACAGGCGGTCGATAGCCTGGCGCCGTTCATCTCGTAGGGTCCGTCGCACGCGATGTCCCCTCCATGTTCGTTGTATTCGTTGCGCCGCCCTGAGCCGGTCTCGTTCCTGTTGCCTTTGCTGACGTTCTGCTTGGGCATGCGCTACTGTTTTGGAAGCTCCGGTCGCTGAACTGGCGCCCCATGAGGTGCTGGTGAAAGGGTTGCTAGTCCGTTGACCGCTGAGGTTGACATTTCGACCTTTCCTAGAGCTACCAGTAAAGGTGGGAAACATGGCTAGTGACTCGAGTGTTTGGTTTGATATTCGAGATTCCCCAACACTAACACGGAAGATCGGAGGGCGGACGAGTGGCGAGAGGAGGGAAGCTTGGGCGTGGAATTGCGCAGATTGATATTATATATCGAATGGATATTATATATTTTTGAAAGTGTTCTGATGCGGTGTAGATATTCGAACTTGAACTAGGAGGTCGTACGAGCCGGGATCTCCGCGCTGGAGGTGTTGTCTTGCAGTTGGTCGTCGTGAACGGTGTGGTTGATGTCCAGTGTTGGACTGCAGTAGGTTGCTCATGGAGATGGCACGGTAGTGATGGCAGTGATGACGAGACGATGGCCGGCTACCTGGCCGTTGTTGGGTTGGAAGCAGCATCCCCGCTGTTTTTGCGTACCTCTCAGGTGTGTGCCCACTGTCACGGTACCTAAATAGCTCGCGGAGTGCTAC